AATTTTATTTAGTCCAACTGGGAATTTTATGACTGAATAAAATTGAGTATTTAAAAGCTACAAAAGCTAATATGAAATAAGTATTCATATGGAGGAGTTGATAACTTAGTAAGTGATGTGTAAACAGCGGCGGGCGTCACTTCGTCGTCTCAGACGCCGGCCCCTTGTCGCCTTACGTTAGTGCCTGTCATGCATTCAACTAATGCGAGTTGACTTCATCGGCAAAAATGTCTCGCCATTTATGAAATGAAAATGAGAAACTTAATATTCATTACGTAATGTCTGCCCCCATCTTAGATATATTATTACGCGCTTTTATATTAAATAATCTTATGATCACGCATTATTATTAAATGTCTATAGCTATTTGTTCGAGATTAAACAAAAAAATTTTTAGCCGACATCAACAAGGAGGTTGTCAATTCGTCTGTATTTTTTATCTGTGTTACCGCATAATTCCTCTCCGGATGCTCCGATTTTGAATATATTTTTTTGAAAAACTTTTGTCCTGCTTTAACATAAATATGTTTCTACTTAACAAACTATTTAACTTATATTCGTAGTCTTTAGTTTTATTATTAAAAGATTATTTGATTCATTCATTGGGCTAATAATTTAATTAAAATATTATTAAATTAAGGCAATTGATGTTTTGGCCGTCATCCAAAACTTATCACCGATGTCAGGATTAATTTTAAATAGTATTAAACAATTTCCATTTCATCTCTATGAAATCATAAAATTGTTTAAAAATGTAGATTTTCAAAGCTTAAAGCGTAATTTAAACAAGTAAATTGATGATTTCCTTGCAATTTTTCAACAATAACAGTATGATTTAGTTAAAGAAATGTGTATTAAGTGAAATTTCTTTACCATGACCTTGAATTTCGATTCAATTTGATCGAATGTAAAACACAATGTCTATTACAGCACGCCAACGCTTGTCCGAACTCTACCGAAAGAATTTTATATTATCTTCTGAGATGCAATCGTTAAATTTAAACTTATACGTATGAAAATGCTATAGTCGATTGTCTGAAAAGATAAACTTGAACTTTATTGTAGAAAATTATACAATATCTGTCAGGTCTAAGGTAACAAGGTTTTATAATGATTTGTCAGTCTTGAGAACTTGTTAATTTATAAATTTATTTCATATAATAAATAGTTTTTTTAAATAAAACATGGTCGTTTTCTTGACGATAATTTATGAATTAAATAAATTTATCACAAAAGAAAAATTGATTTTTAAATTCATATAATTTGATGTTCATTCTGTAAGGTCAAGTGGGATTATGTCTTCTTTTTCTTTATGTCAAAACAAATCATAAATATTATACTAATACTAAAAGTATGGATAGATTTTGTTGCCAAGAATTCGTTTGTACGAAGCTGCATCTATAATAAGATTCCACAATCACTTTCAGATATAATCCACATTACGATAATCTTTTAAAATAACTAAATGAACGTGCACGATAAAATAATGTCAGCTTAGCAATCAAACCTTAGATATCCGAGCAAACCTTTAAGCTTAAATAATTCTCACATATTTTTGAACAATTACTTTGGTGACTTATGGACATAATTAAAATAAAAAAGGTATCTAAAATTTAATCATCTGTTGAATATCCTTAAAAAAACTTTACTTAATATTTTCTAGTCCTTTTTTAATTCGACCATTACCGTGAGGTCATTACCCTTTTCTAACTAATCTCGTCGCTCAACATATTATGGAGTCAATTTTAACGTTCAAGTTTTAATTTCGTCCAACGTACAACGATTTGTCTATGAAAAATGTTTTATAATTAGATGAACCCTGCTCCATACTAACGTAGCTGTTTCGTCTTTTAACAATTTCCTGCGCGTTCAGACGTAGCGGTCTACTGCACACACGTGGAGTTTATTTGTTGGACATAATAACTTGAATCATTTTAATATAATTTAATTAATCTCAATGTAATGATATCTATGGATTAAATTCAGTACTATTTTTTAAAATAACCATCCAGTGTCGAAACATATATACAAGACCATATATGTTATTGTTCTATGAAAGTGGTGATAATATGTTTTACAAATATGTTTCTGCAGTGAAAACTCACTATTGACACCCGTCATTCATTTGTCTGCCACTTCCCGGAGATAGAAGCGAGCACCCTTTTAGTTTATTCCAGGAATAACGAGAGTAGTTTTGTTCGAACTCTAAACCCAGATTCCATCAAAATGTCCGGGTTAGGAATAAGACAAGGAATAATATTAATAACTATTAAAATTCATTGATTTGTGATATTATTATTTAATTATATATCTTTGGATGTTGAATTCCATCTAGATATTTACCATATGAATTCCTAATTCAGCACAGTTAATTCATTGCAGAAGTTCTAATGTCAATAAGACATTGATGGACGTAATAAATCTTGCATTTAATAGTCCAAGCACTGTTTGTTATGTCTTCTGAGATTCATTTGTTTCCTTTTTTGCAATCATGCTGTATTCGTCGACAGATGTTGTGTTGTTGAGACGAGAGACACTCTAGTACCTATTATCGTCAGCTCGTAAACGCTCAATGACGTCATTTCGAAAGGAGGACGTCTGAGATCTCAGTTTAAGAACCACTACACCGGCAATAAACCAGTGCCTTTATCTTAACTGATACATCTTAAGAGAATCTCAGTGGAAAACAATATAACAACATAAAAACTTTACGTGAGCAATTAAACTGACTCTTTGAGCTGCAACGCTATCTCTTACTATTTCTTTTCTTATAAGATGCTTATATGTAAGTTGTTCGCTGCCGCCCTATAAATATTCATTGACCAATTTTCAAACAATCCATTCAAATTCATTCGAATTTGATTTCAGATATACGAGCTGTTAATCTTACTAATATTATTATTGCAAATATTTAGATTTATGGCCATTCATCCATCCAACATCCATATGTTTAGTTACTAGGAATCTCCCAAACGGCTGCATTGATCGTACCGAAATTTAGCATACATGTAGCCTGGTAGATTACATAGGCTACTAGTTAAGTTTATTTTTAATTCCGTACGGACAGCTAGTTTTTCATATTTTAGATGTTAATAAAAACAATTGTCCAAAATTTATATAGTGTCCTGTAGCGAATTTAATTCCCTCGAAACAATGCAAACACTTGTGTCAGTCACAAAACAGGCACAATGGCTCCGATCCCAAGGGTATCTCTGTGAGAGACACTGAGTACCTAAATGGTTCAAGCTCAACTACGTAAGAAGATTTATAAACATTTTGTTTACATTTTTAAGATGAAATAACTGCTCGATGCAGAAGAAAACTTAGTAAGAATTGTATTGTGTTTCCTGAATATTACTAAGTCAATTTGTTATATGTTAGATATTTTTGGTTAGTATATTAAAGACTTTTATTATTTCGTGTAATTTAACATGAGCTGGCATATGCATCCGATAGTCAATCGATTGAAAAGTTTTACCTTTTTATAATATTAGATCGCAGCTAAGTGGAGCATTTAGAACTTTTTAAATTAAAAATCTGTTAGACGGTACTAATCAGGTTCGAGTTAAATTTATTATCGTTTAGTTGTATCTCCTCATTTCTTGTTTCGTTTACATGACCTTCAATCATTCGAATGCATTAAAACCGCCTCAAGTTCGCGCCAAAGACAACAAAATTGAGAGCGTTCTGCTATAAATTATCCGGCGTTTAATAATAAATTCAATGAATTATTAGTTTTTCTGAGTGACGTTGTGGTCAATCAATTCAACAACAAATATTCGAGACTTAGTACAAGCAATAATGAATGCTTTTTTTACGTTTTACTACTTCACAGACAATAAAATCTTGGAGACTTTTATTATTGTGATAAATGAGAAGACGCTATATGCCAAATGCTATTACGTTGTAACCAAATCACAGAGCTAGCAAAAACGTATCTAAAATGCATATTTTGTTTAAATCTCACTAATCTTAGGCTAACTATAGGTTAAAAATCACTAATCGGAGGCCTAACTTTAGTCCTCTTTCACATCCTACCCTTTTTCATATAAAGAAAGGATGGGAAATGGAAGTTAATTTTTCTGATGAGGGGATGCATGAGAAGGGAAAATATTCTCTTTCTGTGCCTCCCTTCTTCGTCGATTAATGGAAGTTAACCATTTACAATTGCGGATGTCTATGGCCAACGATCTCTTCGCTATTTCAGCAATTTCAGGTGGCCACCTTATAATATAAAAAATCTTGATTATCTTCTTATATTTTTAATTCTACGTTATTCTTATCTGTCTATCTAAACCAAACGATATTTTAATAAGATGTCGAGACGTCGAGAATTTACCAGGTCATTATGAAACATGCGGTATTTATTTTAATAGCTAAGTAGTGGAAATTTTACTGCGTTCAAACGTAAAAGGCGCCATTTAAAGCTTAATAAAACTGCTACACTAACGAGACATACCACAAAGGTATAATTATATATTATTGTACTATTTTTATACTCTACTAAAAATACACTGTCTCCTACGGTATACGATTCTGCGGGGAGATACTCTATTAAATCGACCCCGGGAGGCCAATCCTTGATTGCTAGGGATTACGGCTTGTGTTAACCCTTTTCAACCGATATGAAAACGGTCGAACCATGCACTAAGCTTAAATACATACTGGAGAGGTCTTTCTCTCTTTAATTTTGCTATGTTGTCATGTTCGATGTCTTTTTTGTTTGTTTTTCCCCCCGTATGTAAGTTAGATTTAATATGTTTGAAAACATGTAAATTCCTTTATGACAGCCTAGATCCTAAACGATTGAACCGATGTCAGTGAGTGGTCATTCGATTCGTCTTCTTTGGAGAACAAGAAATGAATTTACATTTTAGTGCAAATGAGTTCGAATCTCACTTGACATAATTTTTTTTAGATTGCTTAATCATTTTACGGTATTATTTAGTAAGAAAAAGTTTAAAGATAAACAGCATTAAAATATTATTATTTTATTATAGGTTTCCGGAAGATAAACCGATGGAGACTGACAAAATGTCAACGGCGTCATCGACAGGCGCGGAGAGACGACCGCTACTACAGGCTTTGGTCATCGAGCGCCGCATTCTCTTCGCCTGCACCGTACTCGTCGGCCTCTGCACGTTTGTCTGGATAGCAGCTGTCTGTACAGAGAAATGGGTGCACATTGAAGGAGGCAAAGGTATGAATCTAGATACTTTAATATTCTTCACTAAGTTTGGGATCATACATTTTGGAACGGCAATCCGATTACGATTTGACGCATTGACTTACATGTCAAGTCTGTCCAATAAACAGTAGAGAAGGTAAGGGAAGGTGTTAACATATCTCTCTTCTTATTGTATCTAATCGTCATCTCGTCATTTCTTCTAAATAAAAACTAACAGAATTAATATTATTATCTTCAAAAACATAATGATGTAAAGTAAATCAAACACGAATGTTTACTTTACTCAGAAAATCACACATTAAAGCTGTATCATTTCATCTCGACCAATCTGCCACACAAAATTTTTAAATGATGTATAAATAAAATTAATCTTTTCTGGCACAAATTTTTTTGTAAATATTATTGAATCTTTTCACGTGCGAATGTATGGATGACTTGGATTGTGCGCATCGGAACATGCGCATATTGAACGTAATAATCGTGTGAGGAAGTTGTCAACTGTTGAGTGCGAGATCCAAGGCGTAGTCGGGAACGTATTATTAATTACGGACGTGTGGCAGTGGGGTCGATGACCGTCGGTCTATTTCTGTAGACCGTACGCAGATCGAGTAAATGATTGCACATAGATATAATGATATGATTAATTTATTTTCGGTAAACGTAGTAGGTGAAATTATTAATAGACGTGTACACACTGTCGCGAAAGCGTAACGTAAGACATGAAAATAAAGAAGAAAGATTTTGCTCCTCGTCAGATTCGGTTAAACTGCTAAATGATAAGCTGAAACAAATACAAGACAGGTTGTGTGACAAGACTGTGTGTTACAAGCCTTAGTAATTGGTAGACGACAATTTTATATTATTTACAAGCTTTTGCTCGCGACTCCGTTTGTTCCAGGCTATATTCTACATCTGTGCCAAATATCATCGAGATTCGTTGAGACCTTCCACAGATACCTTCTAACATCCATCTATCCTAAACTTTCGCATTTGTAATATTAGTAAAATTAATGATATAATTTGTTACAGGTGTATATCTTCCTTCGAGAGGTGTATATTTGATATGGAGCAACTCTGGTATGTGGGAGATTTGCCGATACTTGTTCCATCCCACGCCGACTTCGCCTGTGAAGTACAACTCTACCGTTGGTACCACAACACCTCGGCCATACGATGTTGAGGGTATGGTTGGTGAATACTTCACGAGTAAGTTTTTTAAGAATTTATACAAAATATATTTTTATTTTTGTAAATCAATTCGATTATTTATTGCAGTAAAAAGTTGTAAAGAAAATAATCGTATATCAAAAACTAATTTTCATCTCTTAGAAAAGATTCGTCCGTAATTATTCTATACTAGCTGTCGCCCGCGAGTAATGAAAAAACTTAATTAGTTTCTGGCAATTATTCGAATTGTTCTCACCTTTTAAACCTTCCCTAGACCTCCACGAACATTTTAAGACCAAGATAAGATAAATCCGTTCAGCCGTTCTCGACTTTTGGTGAGACTAACGAACAGCAATTGATTTTTATATTCAAGATTTACATACAGAAGATAAATTAAATTGTGAAAATCTCAGTTTTTTGTACGTAAGAACGAGGATTTACTTTCTGTTAAGATAATCTCATACCCTAATGCTTAGTTATTTTAGTTTCTTCGTTGTAAAATAGAAACCGTCTGTAAAATTTCGTTCCAAAATAGACATTGATTACATCTCAGCTCTCGAGCATTACAAAGAAATTGATTTATCTGGCAGTCTGTGTACAAATTGCTTATAAATTGTTACCTAAATATCGTAATTCTTGTTATACATAGTCTTTACAGCTGAATAGTTTATGTCTTACCTAACTACTACATGCTTCAGATTACATAAAAAAAGATAGTTGAAGAAATAAACAAACGGATCGGTAGACTTTGTTTATTTGAATAGGTATTTTTACTAAGAAACAGAGAAAACAACTTTGATAGAAAAGTAAACCAGCGGGAGTTAATGGAGTAACCGAGTGAGATAAAGCAGAATGCTGTGAAAAAATAAAACGAAACCAACCTTTGCGCAACATTCTCGCTAATGGACTTTTACATACATCACTCAATTAACTATGTATCTTTGTTTGAATTGAACTTTTTTTTAATCATAAGTACGTCCGTTTGCGTATGTGATTGAGTTGAATAGATTACCCCAACATTTTTAAAATTGGTAGAGAGTTGTTTACTTTTCCGAAAATTGGGATATTTGTGGTATTTTTATTTTTATACCTTTGCGTGGTGTGTTTGGAGGAAATCTTAGACAATTCGCTAAAGTATTTTCTAAGACACTGTTATGAACTTATAATTGGATACAGTTTGTGTTTGCTACTAATGCGGTAGCTAATTAGCAATAGGTAAAGGCATTACCTGTGAATTTAGTACCGAAATAAATATAAAGGGTTCTTTACATTTACAAATTGACAAAACTGTCTAACTACGCATATCTATTTACTTGAATAAGAACATTTATGTGTTCTCGACTAAAATATCTTCCTTACTTATAATTACAAATGGTGTTCATGTTCGAAGTAAAATAAATCATTTTTATTGACTTGAATTTTAAAATCTAATTTTAATTCGCTTTAGTAGTTTAATTATAGATGCTATAAATATAAAATAAAAGATAAACGGTCTCGGAGTTTTTAATCTACGTTTAAATATCTCGTGATATTTATATTTTCATCGTAACAGATAAAGTTTCTTTAGTGACAAATTAGTGGGAATTAAAAGCTTCGTTATATTTGAAATAATGAGCTTGTTAAAACGTAGAACGGTAGCGATGCAATCTGAAGCAAACCATTTATTTTTAAAAACTGAGATTTAAAAAGAAATCCACAATTTTACGACCCAACAACAGAAATAGAAAAGAGTTTTTACTGCCTTTAGAAGTTTAGGTCCGATTGAAAAATTCTATCTACAATCCAAACTAAACTAACAGAATTTTATTCCACTAATTATTCGTATCTTCAAAATTCCATCATTTTTAGATATCAAGGTCATCAGAACGACGGGCAGGGATGCCCGCAATATTTTCACGGAGAAATAAAAAGTTCATACAGCTCGACCCACACAATAAGATTTATAGTCACCGATAAAAATACCACGTGGTTATTCAAGTCGCCACTGGCCTATATCCATATAGCTAACCCGACGTTACGTAACTCGACAAATAAATAAACAAAAGGCACACATTGCATAGTTAACGTTACGGAAACAGAAATGACTACAGAAATAACATCGCTTTTTAAAACTATCGGCAGATTTTGCCCCGAGCAACTTCGGCTCGAGTAAAAATCAACGATGCTTTGCCTTATTAAACATCCAAGAAAATTCTATGAGATTTAAATGTAATCAACAAAGTGTTGTGTAATTGCAAGTGTTTTTTCAATAAGGAAACATTTTAAATTAAGTTAAGCTTAAAAACTTAGTAAATTATGAAATATTAGAGATCAGATATTTGAAATTTTATATGGAAAGAAAAGTCTGTAGAAGATAGTAGAATGCAAAATGTAAAGACACTCAACATACACGATATGTGACTCTTTCTTCCATCTCTGTCAGCCATGATATTAAATTCAGCCCAACTTACACTTATCTTCTTTAACAAAATCTATCACATTTACCGTAGGTTTCTAAAACCAATATCCTCGTTTAAAACATATCGTTATCTCTGTTTTGTCAAAGATAATAACACAGATAACGTTTTATACAAAGATGTTGGTGTCAGAAACCTACGGTTTATGTTACATTCATAATTGTAATGTGTGCACTTTTTAATGGATGAATTGATTGATGCATTAGTTGAGGCCAATTTGCACTCTGTTATTTTTCATCGTAAAGTCTTCATCACCTAATGATTCATTTCATAATGCTTGCCAAACAAATCTAATTGCTCGACATATGATACTGTATTCATCCGCATTACTTATAATACGTTTTGTTGCTCTAATACTTCTCAGTGTGTTACCTCTTGAGAAACTGGCAATCAGTACAGTAATGCATACCACATAGAGCGTTGCATTCACATTTTAAAGGTCAAAGTTCCGAGCTTTAGTTACGAATACAGTCTGAACAAAACAAATATTTAATCATTTAGCTAAGATGATTCATTGTCATTAACATGAAACTACTACTCTAGCCAATTCACTTGGCACATACGGTGATTACAGACATTTCCAAGAAATGACACTTTAGTCTGCTAACATGTTATAAATGTGTTTGGGCGCCAATACAATGGTTTGTGTTAAATAAACCTAAAGACGTATATTCGAATTCAAGATTAAATTAAAATACTGCCACAAATATCCAATACTTAAGTTTTGTTTTTCTTTTTTTTAACGAGACTTTATCGGCTGTTAAGTTTTGCATTTGAATATGGTGATTTTGATACCAGGCATAGCAAAGATCAGGAACGAATTAAAATTCAGTTTAATTATGAGAAGTACCTACTTTTAAGCAAAAACGTGAGTTAATTATAATCTAGTTCATATCATCCATCATTGCTTAATACCAGATGCGATCGTGATCGAGTGCTAAGTATTAATATCGTATAGCAAATTTTAATGGTTGAATTACAATGGTACAATTTATTACAATCCAATTAATTAACTTGATACACAATAAAAATATGACAAACAAATGTAATGCACGTAAAAGACATTTGGGAAACATCTGGACGGTATTACGGTTAGACGGTCGTCTGGTCGACTTCCAAACGAGCTAAAGCGAGCAAAATAAGAAAGAACATGATTGCTTATTTGGTTTGATGTTTGAATAAGAAAGTTTACAAATATACAACTAAAGTAATGTGTTAACCCTTCGCTTGTTGTGAATATTGAAATAGTAAAAAAGGTAAACAAAATTTTACACTATTCAAATTATTTAACATTTTTTAAATAAACTTTATTTCAAAGATAAACGTATCTACAAAGTCGAAGCTACTCATTATAATTGTGGATTACAAATAATAATTAAATAGAACGATAAAGTGTATTCTAGAGTTCAAAGCATTTGTGTTCGTAGTGGACGCTATCTCAAATAACCCGATTCCCAGTTGGAGAACAATAAAACTGACGATGTACTTAGATTCTCGAGAAGATTTCAATGTAGTAATACGGAGTTAAGAAATCGTATAAGCTTCTTAGATTCTCTTAGAATAAAATAATTTTAGTATGCTTTTAAAAAAAGTTAAGACTGTAAAGGATTTACAGAAGAAACACAGACTAAAAAAATTTAAGTATAGATATTTTGTCTTGTCGGCTCCTTAGTACTTTTGTTGAAAACTCATTTTTAAACAAAGCGATTTGAAACTTCGTTTATTATGCGCATGAAAAGGGATTGGAACAAATTTTCAGCATCATTGTTTCTATACAATTTTTACCAGGGTGTTATCAAGATACAAGTGAATGTTTAAATTAAATTGCTGCTTCACATTTTGATCATAACCATAAAAACGATTGATATTGTGGTATGCATATAATGTAGATCTTTTTATTATTATTACGATTTTACATACGCACCACACATTACTGGCGAAAACAATTTTGGCTACGTAACTTTCGTATATTATAAAGTGTCAAATAAACATCGGCCGTCTGGATTCATCAAAAAAGCAAAGCGACTGCTGCCCATAGAAATATCAAGAAATATGCACATGCGTTATCTACCTACGTTGTCTATGGAGATGGGAACGTATAAATACAGAAAATGTCCGCTTTCTGAGCGTTCCTCCTCTAAATCCACTTCCACCATCCACAATTTGAAATTAATCTCTTAGTTTTTGCCCCAATCAGGATCACACAATCAAACTTTATCATTTTGCAATAATATGTTAGTCTAGACGAATACTGTGTTTAAAAATACAATTCGCATATTAGTTTTCACTTCCATTAACCTAAATACATTGTTTAAACAGTTAAAAGATAGGACAGACACGGCTGAGTTGTTGTGTCGCAGTAAAAATGCTTTTCGTCAAAGAATTACAACACCGTGTCAACGTCAGCGTCGGAATACAAAAATGCTTGAGTTACATCTATTTGTGTTATTAGGTAGATAAACATATGCGAGAGTACGTAGTTTTATTTGTCTATTTGTCATAACATGATTTACTATTAATGTAGAAACATAAAAAAACTGTAATAAAATGTGGAATGTTCCACTTAAAATTAAATGTAAATTTTCTCTTTGTAGTATAATGTTCTTCAAACAGATTGTATTTATCAAACAGTAGGTGAAGCAAAACTTTTTAAATTTCGATAGATTGGTATTTGGTTAAATTTGTGTCGCCAATTAGCATCTTACTAAGTATAGTTTCACACGACGTACATTAATCTTTAACGCTATTACATCAAATTATTGCTACTCGTTGGCAGGGACTTTTAACTTCTTGGCAACAGTTTGCAACATTATTTGCTAATAAATATTTATTATAGCAACACTTACTAAAGGTTCAACAGCTAATTAAACAACAACGTATCATAACCAGAATTTACAGATTAAGGGTTAATTTCTACCTGTTAACCCCTGCCTCGCGGAGTTAAACGTGTTGCCCGCGGCGATCGCGAGGCGAGGCAGTCCTGGGTGAACGAGGAGTGGTATACCGATAACCTTAAAAGATAGCTTTGTAAAAAAGTTTGAAAAATACTAAGATATAAGACTTTTTCAAAGTTAAGTAGAAGTCACCTGTTAGTAACAACTAATGGGTATCTTATTAACAAAAAACTAACCTCAACTAAAATATTCTTTAATTAAGTAGTTGCCAGTAGTAGTAGTAGTTACCAGTATTAAGAGTATTAGGACTAGGAATAAAACAATAACAAGTTTCAATAAATGTCGTGGATCGTATTATAGACGTATAAACTTAATAAAACGTTATAAGCAAGGTAAGAGTCCCTCGGCCATTCAATATTTACTTTCCAAACAATGTCGACCTTAATATTATAATATCGTTCATCTTGACAACTAATCAATTACCTTAAACAATACACAGCAAGGGTTTTGTAAACACAAGAAAGAACTTTGTATCAAATAAAATAAAACTAAAACTTAACTTAAAATTTCATAAGCAACCGAAAAACTGAACTTCCATTAAAGCACCCTTACTAATATTATAAATGTAAAAGTTTGGATGGATAGATGTTTGTTAGAAGGTATCTACACAACCGTTGCATGGAACTCGCTGAAATTTGGGATAGTCTGGAAGAACACATAGGCTACTTATTAAGTTTTCTTTTTTAATTCCTCTCAAATGAAGTCGCGGACAACTGTTTGTTTTAACTAAAACTGGCAAATATAATTAAAAAAACATAACGGGTTTTATTTTACCACTACAAACATTCAGAGAGTCTTTTATTCATTCGTGTATTGTTTTCATTATATGGTTCATTTCACAAAAAAATCGTTTATAGGCCGAACAATAAAACAACAAGAGAGCAAATATTTGTCATCCGTTTCGATTTTAATTTCATTCTTCATTGTTATTTCATTGCTAGTAAAAAGAAAAAAATAGCCAGTTTAATCTGACAATTCATTTGTAACAGATTGTACCAATTATCTCGCACAACCAGTCATGAAGAATGGAAAGCCAGAGGATCCTGCCTATGATATTGATGTTGCCAGTAAGTAATGTAAATTGTACAAATATTCAGAATTTTTATGTATAATTAATATCTATATCATTAGGAATGGATACCATCATTGTTCTTGTTATTAGAAAGTTAGCCGATGAGTTTCTCTCTCCCTAATACCACACTCGTCTGCTTAGTTTCGTCAGTTATCGCGTGACGTCTGATACCATCTGTATAGCTTCTGTGCACGAGTAACAGTGACTTTTGAGATAATCTAAAAAGAATATTAAGGGTCAGTTAATTGAGATAATGATTAATAAATTTTCACTCTAACTTATTCTGATCCCACCTCAATCTATTTAAACCATGAGATTAGGTTATGGTCACACGAAATAAATTTATGATTATTTTAAGAGGTGATTAAGATATACCACTGGGTTGTAGCAGTATGTGTTACATTAACAAGAAGGCATTTTGATGAAATGCAGCAAGGCAAAGTATCGGAACCATTTTCTAATATTTTTAATTTTTACAGATTACGTACGAACAATGGTTTCTTTTGGCATCATCAGCCTTTTCGTGATGGCCATGGGCTGCGGTTTCTCCACCTACACTTTCCGTAATCCTCGTTATATGTTCAAGCGGCTTGCAGCGGGAATACATTTCATCAGTAGTAAGTTCATTCGTTGACAACTATAGCACAATTTGTTTAATTTCAAATATGTAACATATACACGTGACACATGAAATCCCAAAAAAAATTTGGACCACAAATTATTTGGTAGTCCTACTGCTTCAGAATCATCTAAGAATTATTTAAATGTTTAGTAAAAGACTCCCTTAATGTAAACATAGTGGAGAAACCCATACTTAGGAACGCATTTAGCAGTTATGAGCGGTGGGGTCAAACTGTTTTTATTAAAAATTTTATATATTTTCAGCTTCCTGCACGTTCGTGGTGGTGCAAATCACAATGTCTTGCATAGACCATATGAAGAAGAACCTTAGATTCGTTTATCCTGAGCGCGCATACCATTAGTAAGTTATATTTATCTTCTACATTTAAAGTTAATGATAAAGTAACGCAATGATGTTCTCTGCAACCAACACGACAAAACAAAATACCACATAAATGCTGGAGGTAATATTTTTTTCGGTTAACATTTTCCATATTGTAATCCAAAGAGGAATCACTTGGTATCCTTAAGCCATATTTCATCTAGAACAAGCTGATTGAAAAATAGATACTTGGGCACTGATCTTTCCAAAGAGGATTAGACCGTGCACTGCCCACGCGACCGCATTACAGGTTGGCAGAGTCCAAGTGATTGTATCGACAGTACGTCTGCCAATGTGTAACGGGATATTTAATTTTATTATTCACCAAGAATTTCATTTTAAAATGTTTGTTCGGCACAATGATAATTTCCCTTTTTCCGTGTGTGTAATGTTTGCAAAGTTGTATATATGTCAATTTTATTGTGACCGCTAGCAATCTTACCGTACCAATTTTGATAAATGACTTGTCATTCGATTTGTATTCTTCTCTTTAGTGCCATATAGTCGAGTTTTCTGTTTTTTTATTCATCAAATATTGCCTTAACTAAGTTGTTTTCCACAGTTACCACATTAGTTTCTTCCTCGCCTGGTTCGTGGTCCTCGTAAATCTCTTTGCTGCTGCGTCGTTTCTTTGGTATTCAAGAAAAAGGAAAGGTGACAAGGCGGCTACAGATGAACTTGCCATGGCCGATGAGCCAACAATCATCGGCCGATGACGTAACTGGCGTCCCATATCCAAGCATTCTCTCAAACCGCTTGGAAACTTTGTCAAACTTCTACTGAACAGTGCTCAAATGACCAATAGCTATATCAATATTTCGAAAGTCTTCCATGTGTTTGTACTTATAGAAACATAGATATATCTATAGTTACATCGAATGCATCTTGTAAAAAATCCCATAAAAATTTATCTGTTTGAATTCGTTAATGCAATTTGTAAATAATTTGCAATGTTTATTATCTTCGCCTTGTTAATCTTATAAGTATTCGAAGCACATATAAAAGGTTTCACTATTCGCTTCAAATATTATTTAACACATTAAATGCCATAGAAGAAACAGAAAAAATCACGAAAAAACTTTTTGCTGGTAATAGATACGTAATATCGAATCTTCAAAACATATGTAGTTTATGGTACAATTAGAATGGAACCCAGCTTGGGTTCCGTAGATATTATAAAAAAAAAACTTGATTAGGTCACAGGTGCCCTACGCGTCGCTTAAATACAGACAGGGATCCGATCACCGGTGACCGGAGTGGCGTTTAACGTGTTAAATGTTATAAAATTTGCAATAATATATATTATCCTTGGACTTATAGGATTAACGAAGTTAGAATGTGTTGTGCATCTTCATTATTAAATATATGGTGTATTTGTGTTGGTATATTTTGTTCATTTTAGCTTGAAGATTAATATAATCAAAATATATAGTTGCTATTTAGTAATAGGATATAAAGTTCTTTATGATGTGTATACTTATCCAATTGTAGTCAAACTTCTTGCAAACAAAAATAAAACAAAAATACAATTAGATACTGTTTAGTTACACACGTGTTAACCCTTTGACTGCCGGTTATTGATATTAAGGACATCAACGTACATTTTTCTTTTAAATATGTATCACCAAAACTGCTTTCGATATAGGTTATATTTGTCAAGATCACATTTCGGTAGGTTACGCATAATCAAAATTCAATAATCCTGATTTCTTCTAACGTCCATAATATCTGCGGCTATAAAAGGGTTGATATTATGTTTAAGTTAAAATGTAATTAAAACACTTTAAAGTTTTTTTTATTGTTGGTTTATGGTTGTATAACTTTATGCTATTTCTTAACGATGATGTTTGACTTCACAAGGTCATTGTTCAAGTAGGGACCATCGCAGTGCCTGTGTCTTCTACGAGACTGTGTTCAAACATTTCGTTCTTTAAGAGGTTTAGTAAATCATTAAAACATTGGGCTACTTTTAGCCCCACATATTATTAACTAGCTTGTACCATGTTTCGAGCGTGTTTATTCATTGAAAAAATGATTATCCATATTGTTATTGGTTATTGGGCGTAAATTATGATATTTAATATTCCTAGAGCTGTATATTACGTTGATTAACGTCTCTTATATCTGTTAGCTTAGTGAAAATAAATTTATAAGGATTGTACAAGCACTATCTGCTTATTGTCGTCATTGTTAATAAGGGCCGATTATAAATAATGTGTGTACTTAATTCTTGCTCACGGAAGTTTGAGAAACACTGTTTTGTTTATAAGTAATCTAATACTAAAATGAATGGAGTATACTTTTGTTGACACTTTGCTGCCCGTAAGACTATTTACTCTTAAGTATTATAAAACTTAATTCTAGTCAAATGTATAGTGACAAGTTATTCTTTACTTCACCGATCTATTTCCATGCAGTCTTTAGTCATTCACTACTTTTTTTTACGTAATCGTGAAATTCCACTGATGAAACTTGTCGTGAAACATTGTTGTCTCTGTCTGTCTAAAAGAGGATAAGAGGGATAACTTTTGTGGTAAACTACAGTATTGTTGGGCAACGTTGATTGCATAATTTATGGTCACTTTTGTTGGCCTGTAATTTTCTAAGCTTTTTTGAATTACCTCAAACATAATTCATACTTTCTTAACACATTTATTAAATTAATTAAAGTTTTATCTCAGCTTCTAAAAAATAAGAAGCTGCATATTCTATGACATTTATTCGTTCGTTAAGCACAAAAAAAGCTTGAAACGGTCTCTATGCATTACTGCACTATTCATTTAAAAAGTTCGACATTTTAAAAAATTGACGGTCAAAATTGGATACTTACTGACCTTGAGTTTTTGTTTGCGTTTGTCATCTTTTTTATTTTTTTCGTAAATAATTTTATTGAAAAACCAGTTATGAGATATTTTGCTGTATATTTGTTATTAAATAAATAACATTATATGTACTATTTATAATCGAATAAAAATACGTACCTGGTACGTTTGAATTTTATTGTGTTATAAGTCGTCACAGAACTGTTTCCTTTGTTTACTTTGTTTCCATTGTATGCAACCTCGTGTGTGTCATTGTTTATTCCAAGCTACTTGCAATGTCGTGTGTAATATTGTATTATACAATTTTAAAAGTATATTAAAATTCTTATAATTTGAATTTAGAGTTTTAATTTTTTTATAAAACCCATCCAATGAAACCATTTTAAAATTTTTATAATGTTAGAATAAAGAAATGCATAAATCAATTTTTAGTATCTTAAAAAATTATCAAAATAAACATCAAAGTAATTCCAAAATTGTTGTAAAGAAAATGAAAAAAAAAACACCGGAAATAAATGAATTAGGAGAATTGTTGTAGGTGAAAAATGTCTTACACACTTTTCGGGTAGCTATTTCAAGACATGCATTGTCGAAAATCTGGCAAGCGCCCAGAGCCGGACTGTGACACTGCCAAAATCAACAGAGGTTAGTGTCCTAAAAAACTGTTGAAGCAAAGGCCAATCATCCTAACGAACTGCCGGGTAAGTCGTTACCGTTGTACTTGCTCTCGTAGCGAAACCTTTTGATAATTACTACCCACGCCATTTATTGGACAGTAACATTTATGCGACGATTTTACAACGATCTTTATAGTCGCTTTGTAAAAAGTATTTACGGAGCGATTTTCGATTTACATATTATATGTACGACGTTCTTAGGGTAAAGGAAAACATCGTGATGCAACTTGCACATATCTGCAAAAAAGCCAACCAACCTGTTGACCAAGGCCTAGCCGCCTCAAAGTTAGGGTGAACTCCGACCCTCTCAGTAGGATGTTTAGTGAGCTTATATCGATATAAAAAAAAACATTAATAAAAACAATTAATTTTTTATACTGGTAACAAAAACCTGGTTACCACTAGCAACGAAAAAGTATGAAATCGTTCTTCAAATGTTGATTAATCACCATGGAAACCGTACTAACGTCTTTGCATGTCTCGTTACCAAAGATAATGGAATAAAATAATTTTCGACGAAACGTTAAACAGATCAATAAAGCCGGGGTAATTCAAGCTGATCACGCGATATGTCCGAGACAAAGGTAAAACCCGACCTACGTAGCTTCCCTTCCATCTAATTAATGTGACTTAGGGACATGCAAGCGAGGGTTGGGACGTCAAACTTTGCGTGCTTTTTTATGTTGTTTCCACATCGAGGGAATATTTGACTTTGACATAATGTCCGTAAATTATTCTTTAGTTATTTAGATTGCACGATCTTTGTTTATTAAATCATAGTTTTTGTTATACACCGAAATTAGGCTCACCTTGAGTAACATAAAATAAGAACCACTATCTTTTTATAATAGATTTTGATGGTAACAGGTTATTCCAAAGAAAACTAAATCGAATTTAATAAGTACATTACGATCTAGTACCGACCATGGACAGTCTACTGGATCTAATAGTGAGTATGACATTACATCTAGGTCTCGACCCGTAGTTACTACAAAGTAGGATTGGCGAAGGTCATAAAAATTAGGACCCAAACATTTGTTTGTAAAATCTGGTTCACCGACCCCACGTGGGTTGAATAAGGAAAAATGTTGAACCGCTCAGTTATTACCATCTCTTAGAAAATGTTAACGTCTCCATTATTTCTCAGGCAGTGTTGTAGAAGACACCGAAGGTGACGTTGGTCAAATAGGAAAACATATATCAAAGGGATCAGTGACGATAAACAGGGATGAGTACTTACACTCACACAGAGAATTAACTCACGACTACCAACAGCTAAAAATGAAGAACAACCTGCTACATAGGAGATTTGCTGATTACTATAAGTATACACCATATCAAACAATTCGGAACTCCATAGAAAACAATAAACACACGTTTTATTATTTGATATTAAGTTAATAATGCTTTCAGATAACTATTCTTGTAAACAAGCTGTCTCCCGCGACTTTGTCCGCATGGAAATAAATGTAGCCAATGTGTTCTTCCAGACTGTGTTCTACATCTATATCAAATTTCACTGAGATCCGTTAAGTCGTTCCGGAGATACCTTCAAACAAACATCCATCAAACAATCCATCCAAACATTCGCGTTTGTCATATTAGTCAGATGACAGCGTTGAGGAAAGTTTACAAAAGATACTGCCTCCAGAAACCTTCTTAGGCATCAATTTTGTGCTCTAAATTAGATACATACAACTAGGTGGTTATAATATTGCAACAATTAATTAATAATACGCTTGTAACCAAGCATTATCTGCCCAAATACACTTGGAATCGTATGTTTAAAATTTTTACTATACACTGTTAATCTCTGGTACTCAATTTAACCGTTATGTTTGAAATATATGTTAAGATGTCATTCTTTTTTAGAAAAAGAAAACTTGAACATGTATTGAAGCCATTAGAAAATTCTGCTGATTTAGAAGAAAAATATCAACAAAAATTGTTCACATACGCGGAACTAAAAGACAAGGAAGAAAAAGAAATACATGATGTAAGAGAATAAGACACAATTTTTTTTTTCTTATGAATATCTGCCAATTTATTATAGCTAACGCGCTAATCAATATTTTTGCTATTAAATATGCTTAGTCACAATCTAATAATAAAATCCGTATAAAATTATTTTAAGCTTTATAATTACAATTTTTAACGAATATTTAAAACAGGATTTTTATTTAACACAAATTTACATTTTCGTCTCTTTTATGATTTTTTGAAAATGGAAGATAAAATCCAAAATTCAAGCTGTAGAAAATCAATTCAAGCATAATTTGGAAAATGCGGAACAGAAATGCGACGAACTTATACAATTAGAAAGGAGCACTGGCGCAGGATTAATTTACTCTAAAACGGGAAAGCCCATGGGAGACAAGGTATACATACTCTCAACAATAATGTTTTTGTCATTTGTATTCCACTAGCTGTCGCCCGCGACTCCGTCTGAATCAAAATAAAACTTAATTAGTACCTTATGGGTTTTCCAGACTATGTTCTCCATCTATATCGAATTTCAGCGAGATCTATGCAGCCGTTCTGGAGATAAACAAACATCCATCCAAACATTTGCTACATATGCTTACATATGCTATGTTCATGTCTCAAATTGAGTATTTAAAACAACTTAAATCTTGAATTGCAAAATAAAAAAATGCAAACAGCATAGGTCGACAATTAATACGTTAACACGGTCTGATGTTTTGCTTAAAGCCAAAAAGCCATACTGTTGTTAATAAAAATAGTATAAAATGAACTTATTATTCCAGACTATAGAAAGATTTCTGACGTTGCAAAGACACAAAGCAGAACAAGCTGCACAATTATGTTTACGGTACATTAGAGTGAGGAATGCCGTGGCTGAACTTGAAGGTGTTATACGAAAATTAGAAACACTAGGCCCGGGACTACATGTAGCTCACTTCGAACAAATGTACATCGACAAACAAAACTATATGAATAAAATTGAAGGTAAAATAGTTCAAATTGAAATTGGTACTAAAAACATAGCTCAAGTTAATAATAAAAATTATACGGAATTGATCTGAGTGTTAAAATCCTGACTTTTATTAGAGATAGATTTTTTTAATCAGTCATGTTCCGTGTCTGTTTGACTTATTATATTGAAATTATGAGAAATATTATTAACTTAATAATGATTTGATTGTTAATAGAACGAGAGGACGAGCTGATAAAAAACCGCACGAAATGTACTGAACATAATCAAATTTTGGCGCACATTCGAGAGAAAATGCATCACACCGACGAAGTTATTGACTTTACAGAAGGTGATCTAGGCGATGCAGATCTAGAATTTTTGAAAGCTAGAGAAAGACTAGGTCATGCAAAAGTAAGTAAAGAGCAATACGATAAGTACAGGAAACTATGGTTATTGATTTTGGTATTCCCATTTCTTAAAGAATTATCACTTAAAAGGCTACGATATAAAATTCAAAAGAATGTATTAAACTCAATGGTGTTGCAACAGCTGGCTTAACACACTTATCAAAACAACAACGAAACTCACGCCTGTAATCCAGAGGGGTAGGCAGAGACCACGGACCTCCATTTGGCATGACCAAAGGCACATCCGCAATCCACTTTTTGTTCTTATCACACTCCTCTAATATTTTTAATCAAGAATTGAAGAAAAAAATGATTACTAATTTATAACATCATTTGAAAATAAAATACAGACTCATTTTGAATACAGGGGGAACGCGACAAACTACGTTGGTCGCTTGAATCGGAACGAATGAAGGCAGGTTTGCTTACGAGAAGGGATTTGTTGCGTGACTTTCAAGACGCAACTGACGAGGTAAAGTATAGACCTATGAAATTATACAAGTTATGATTCAATATAAAAACAGAGGATGAACTTCAATTAAAATATAATTAATATAATATTTATAACATTGTATAGTAAATCACAAAATTAATTCTCGTTATCTCCCTGACCTTGACCCACTAAAGTTACGTCGGAGTAACATGTTTTAGTTCGTTTAGTATAATTTCAGGTTGTAAATTTAAAGGAGAGAAAATCTCAACTAATGCAACAAATAACAAAAATAAGACATAAATTACGAGAATCTCGTCGCCAGTATCAGTTCCAGCCAATAGCGGACGAGGAATTAGATAATCTGTCTTGATGAGTATACAAATATATTAAAGGTGTTTATTATTTTATATACATATCTATGCATTTCTATTAAATGTTAACGAGTTGATTTTCTTATTTAATAATTGTTTTCTTTAGTATAAATAAATTGTTTGGAAATTATAACTGTTTTAATAACAAAAGAATTAAAGTAATAATTGATCAAGTTTTAACAATTTTAACAACATTTTTAATGAGTTGTCTAACCGTGGGTTTCTGAGACCAAAACATATAGAAATCCCTGTTATCTTTGACAAAACAGAGAACCTGTATTAAACGGAGTTTTTAGTCTCAGAAACGAACGGTTAGTAGCTAGTTTATTCGTTCAATTCGGTATTATTCCTTTGTAGCATGTTTTGGATATGTCACATAAAGTTTGTTTCTATATAACATCTTAAGAAATGTACTTCTTTTGTTTTAGTTAAAACTTTTAACGTTGAGAACGAAATTCGGCTAACTAATTAAAAAAAGAATAAAATCGATAATGTATCTTCGTGCTTCGAACATGTTTCTACGTTATTACGAAACATTTGCTCCAGATATCTCTGTAGTTGCGACAACTTTAATATAAAATTGCTTATCATGTTAATGATAAGTCGACTCCGTTATAATAAGTTAATACCAATCTTGAACTGCATACGTTATTAATCTGACCCGTTTTATATTCTATACAAGCTCTAGTTGACATCTTACTTCTTACTAATATTATAAATGCAAATATTTGGACGGATGGATGAATGTTTGATTGTAGTTATCTACAGAACGGTTGCATAGATCTCGCTGAAATTTGGCAAAAATGTAGAACATAGTCTGGAAGAACACATAGACAACTATTTTTTTTAATTCCCCGCTGACGAAGTCACTGGCGACAGTTTAGTAATAATTGAAGGACCGTATATTTGAATTATGAAATGTTTAAATTAATTTGCATTTATTTCAACTCTTCGTAGTATCGACGGCTGATAAAATTTAATAAAATATTTATTTCTGTAGAGAAAAATATTTATTTTTGTACCAAAATAAAATTGTACAAACATTTTACAATTTATTTACACAATAACAATGATATACGAATGAACTTTTGTACCGTCTAGGTATTATGCATTTTAAACACTGACTAGCTAAACCGGTATAATGCTATAAATCTAGATATATTATATATTTTTTATGCTTGCTAAGTAGATTACATATATATTATTATAATCTGTATATTTGTGTTAAAATGCATGCACTTCTTAAAATAGAAAATATTGTATCGCGAAGCAAAATACGAACAAAATTTTTTCAATTAAAAGTTTGAACCGCACCAACAATAGTACGAAATGGAGTCTGAAAGCTTCAGTTGCAGTTACATTATTGCTACTGGATTTTATAACAAGGAATGTAACATTTATACATGTCAACAAAACCAATATATAAATCTATACAAATCTTTTTTAACAATATAATTGGTCCCTTTCATTCTTCACTTCGGAATCATCATATCAAAATGTACTTCAGTCACATTATAAATATTTTCATTCACAATATGCAACTACCGTGTTAATGTAAAAGATTTCGTATTGGTCAAATATTCGGAGGGTTAAGAAAGATTCAATTGATTTGTATTAAGTATAGTAGCGGTGATTGAGTTGGCACGTCGGACAAGATAATACTCTTGTTTCCAACATGCCAAATCAAATGGGAATAATATTGGATTATTGATCAAATTCAGCAAAACATAACAACGTCGTCATCCATTTCTGGCGGTTAATTTAACAGATTCCGGTTGTTCGGGATTCTCTTCTCGTATCAATGTGCCGTGTTTCCAGCCCTCAGGGTAGCCGTATTGTCGGACGTCGTCCCACCACTGCTGTTGACCGTCTGCCCATATGCAGTAAACGACGTTTGTGCCCACCAGTACTATGAAACATACCCAAAATGCTGCACGCCACTGCACCAGTGTTGACTATGAACAAAGAGATTCAAATTAAGTTATAGAGCAGACATTCGTTAATAATTTTTATTTAAAAAGGCTTTAATAATCGTGAGTAGCAAAGACGTACTACGTAAGTAACTTTTTCCACGTAGTAACGAATTAAATCGAACTTTTGTACTTCTCACTAACATAATCAACGTAAAACCGTAAAACTAATAAAAACCATTTATATGTCTACTTCCTTATATACATTTTTGTTTCATATACCAATACTTACGTCAGGTGTCAACAATCCAATTAGATACGGTGTCACAATACCCGCAAAGGTAGATGTCGTGTTTACCAGTGACGTCAGAGTTCCAGCATAATTTGGCGCCAAATCCAATGCATTTACCTAATAAAAATAATTATGCAAATGTTAGCTTTACTAATACAAGGACCATAAAGTCACAGAAAACACAGATATTTTTAGCTTAGCATTTTAATATTTATTTATCACTTGTTTCATTGATAAATGATGTTCATCAATTTCTAATAGCTATTGTCTTGGCAATATCAGTGGACTTGTAACTAAAAAATGTACTCGCCTTGGACCTTAAGTTTGTACAACAATACTAATCAAATTTAAAAATTATCTTCAACAAAATTCAGATTCATAGCAGACAATTAACAATATTGAACTATAAATTTTATTTAAAAATATCAATTACCTTCATACCGCTGTAGAAACCACCCATCAGTGCCATTGATAAGATAAAGTAAACCATAGCAGCTGTGCGATCGCATCCCGAGTACGAAGCTAAGATTATGCAAATCGCAGGACCAGTGGCCGCTAAAAAATAAAGAAGAGTTATTATTGGCACACGCAAAAAAAAATTGTAGACGACTATCACCAGATCTTTTATTTAAAAATAGATTAAAAAAAGAAAAAGCTGTAACGCACAAATATAATGACGTCGATCACACCTATAAATATCACCTAACAGGTTCAAAAACTTGTCTGGTCTTCGCAGGAAAGTTTTTGGACTTGACTTTAATACCAAAAATGAGAACTTTCGAGTTATACTGTATACCACATTTTAGAGCTTTATCTGTAGTACCTGTATTATTAACTTACCTATTGTCGTATGAATAATTCTGCCAGTTTTGATTGTATGCCATCCCTTCTTGATGCACAAGTCACATACGAATCCGAAGAGGAAGGAGCTGATCCACATGGCGACGTACGGTAAAGCTGTCAAGGTGCCAGTAGTCGCTATGTTGAATTTGAGCACGTCGTGAGAATATTTCGGCAAATCTGTCACCATTGTGTAATAACCCCAGTCATGACCAACCTGCAATCATAAATAAAAGGTTAAGTAACCATAATTCGTGAAGTTTAAAATAAATAAATACATATACGGAACTGTGTAAGAATCAATGTATTTTTTAGATTTCTCCTAATTAATCCTTTGTCTCACTATTGACTGATTTGATTTGGATTTCGCGTCTGTATCTTTTTTTAATATGTGTTCGGTACTGATGCACTGTGGTACGTTACTTTAATGACGAATGATATTTTTAAATTTCGCGGTTCAGTTTACGCGGCTAATGTGGGAAATTCTACTCAATTTTTATTTTCAAGCACAAGCGGGTAGTTTTGAAATCCATCTCCGCTACGGACGAGCGCGGGGCCCGTGGGGGTGAGCGGGGAAGATAGTGAGTAGGCAGTAGTTAGTAGTTAGTACATAGCATCGGAAATGGACGAAATTAAAAGAACACATTGGACGTGTCGACTTTCTAGCGAACAGTGTCGCTATGTTTACGGTACCGAGTTCGGTTTAATACTGACGCGTGTATAGTCCGCTTACGGAAAACTTTGTATTCGGTGCACCAGGAGTGCAGCATTGCTGGCGTCTTTAGACTGTGTGCCAGTGACTTATTTGACTCGACTGACACCTACAGAATGACCAGGTTGGTACGTACCACTTCATTTTTTTGCAATATTACGCCAAGCTTTGCAACGCCTAGTCTCAGGGTGGTTCTGCCGCGGGACTCTAAACCGTGCGGCACAATACAATTATTCAGTTATATTTTCATTTATTAATTAGATCTACAAATCAACAATAATAAATATTTGAACAACAGTTTTTTGTTTTCAACAATAACAAATCATTCGTTCGAACAAAAGTATGCGAAATTGAATAACTACGCCCACAGCGCATTACGAAGCAAGTCTGCCGTCGGGCCGTCCATCTTGTTGAATACAACGTGTTGCTCAAGGCCCCAGCGTTCGATATTGTTTACGCAACATTATTTACGCGGTTATATCCAAGTACAAACATTTTAAGCCTTTTAAAAATCTTAATAATAAAAACTTAACAAAGAGGATTTCCTCCTACTATGCGTCTTCTGCTCCGCCAAATTACTTCCTTTCTTTTCCTTATAGGAAAAGAGGGTGAAGGGGAAGGAAAAGGACTAAAATTTGGTTCTCAGCACGGATATGCATCAGACGAAAATCGGAATCGCTTCCAAATCACAAATGTATTCTGACTATTGTAGCTGGCGTCGACCACCACACTTCTTCATTTACCATTAAATTTTTTATAATGTAAAATATAATTAAATTTAAATATTAAAATAAACTAAATGTGTTTTTAAATCATGTAACAAATCATAATACGAAACAATAAATTTAAATATACGTTTAACTATGCATTTGCATTTAAATATTTGCATGGAGTTCCTTCACGGTGATTAGATAATGTACAACGAAGCAGATGACCTTGAAGTTGTCGTAATATTAATTGTATGATTAAAATAAAACACGTTTTCGATTATTTTACTAAAGAAGTGGATAAAATGTAAATAATACTATAAAGCGGTTCTTAGTCTAATTGCTTTTGAACTTCAGTCTATCGTTAAAGTTATTCTATTACTACATATTAGTTATAATAGAATGTTACTGCAAGGCGTATAAAATGCAATACAAATTCACAAAGTATCATTCGTTGCATTTTTATAATCTTGCTTTCTGTCTCTGGGAACCGAATCCAAGCCTAGCGTTATAACAAGTTACTCTAACAACTGAGCATAAGGATAAAACTAAACGGCAACTTAAAAAGCAAATGGTGTGCAGCAATAAAAGCGAACAACTCACAGCCGCCCACACTAACGCCCAGACCGGCGCGGATCTCAATATCGCCTTCCACGGAACCGGATCCTTTGCGGTCTTATTCTCGGCCGTTGTAACGTTCTTATTTAGGTAATTTAACTCCTTCTTTGATATGTACGGATGGGTGTTCGGTGTGCTGTAGCATAGTAGACTCTGAAATTGTAAAAACGTTTTTATATTTGATGTTATTAAAATAAGAGTGATTCTGAACAACACAATAACTAAGCGAGCTCAAAGGTTTTATCTATACTAAGGAAAAATATTTGTTTAACATTGGAAATTCTGTAAGACTAGGTGACTATTGATTGTTGAAAACCTTTAGCATTCAAAAAGTTCTTGAGAATTGCCGTAGATTGTATTTTAATTACTACTTTACCTTGCAATACTTTTTAAGTACATTATTAAGATACATATATCATAGCTTATACTCATGAATTAGTCATTTGCATTATAATAGTAAATACTATACACATCATCTGATTGAATTACGTAAAATAATAGCAATTTAACATGAACTAAGATCAAGGACACGCACTGTTACGGAAGTCTCTGTTCATTTATTTTAGTACTGGCTATCGTCCGCGACTCCGTCCGCGCAAAATTTAAAAAAAACTATTAGTCGTACCGTAATGTAATATAGCCTAATGCCTTTCTCTATAAATGGACTATCCAACAAAAAAATAATTTTTGATATCGAACCAGTAGTTACTAAGGTTAGCGCGTTTAACCAAACAAACAAACTCTTCCCCTTACATATTAGTACAGATGTAAATGAATTAGTACTTGACTAGATTACTTTATCTGGCTTATTTAGTAATATTCGCAAAGAGAAATAATTACCCATAACGTAAACCAAAAGATGCCGAATCCACCGAAGAAGTAGAAGACATAAGCCCAGTCTCTACCGTCAGCAAGCAATATTCCGGACATGAAGGAGCCGAATATATTGCCTATTTGCGCACCGCCGAATACCAATGCTCCTTGGAACGAGCGCTCATGGGGAGGCACCCATCGCGCTAACATTATCATTAAAGCTGGCATCGTCGGACCCTGCGAAACAAATGATAAGCTTTATATAAAATATTACATCTACGACCTTTTTAATGAGAAGAATCCTATTTTTGGTAGTTAATATTTTTAAATTACATTCTTATGTCCTTTTTACATATAAGCTCTACATTATTGGTGTTCTGTTGGTTTGTATATTTGCACTGACAACAAGAAATTATTTTTCTTAGTCCTAATGCAAACGTTTTTATATTCGCATATATTTGTAAAATACCTCTCCCATTCCTTGTAGAACGCGAAGTATGAAGAGCCACGTTGCTCCACCAGCTCTGATAACTATGGGGGTCAGGAATGTGAATAAAGCTGTGCTCAACAGACCAACACCTAGGGTCCATTTCCCACCAAATCGTTCAGCCAAGTAGCCACCGGGAACCTGGGTTGCTGCATAGCCATAGTAGAAACCACTCAGAATAAGCCCTTGGGTTTTTTCGTCCCATTCAAATGTGGCATACTGAAAGGTAATAGAGAGAATTTATGGCTCTGCATTTTTTTGTATTCAGCGATCGTAATCCATTTATTGCGAAATCATAAAATATAAAACGAATATGCTATTCTAGTGTAAAATTATTTTATACATTTTGGTATACGATGTGTTATCACCTCTGTCTAGTATCGTCATAAAAGTAGGTTAGTTTCGGGCACCAAAAATACATTGATTTTTGATTTACATTTAGAAAATTCTCATTTTCCATCAGCGCTTTTAGATTTATTTCAAAGGACGGTCTCGTCACTGTTTTCCTATTTAGGTCAAATATAAAATAAATGATTCAAATGGCCATTTGCTTCGAAGTTACTTTAAAATATCTTAATTCGGTAGTGACAGATGCCAAGTTAGTTGAAAGTGAGCCTTAGTAACTGTTTAAATAAACCACTTTTAAGATTGTCGCTAATTTAGATTATTTTCCAAAGACTCCTTTTTTCATCAAAAATGACATGATAATTTCGACAGTAAAAATTCAAGCGTAAGCAAGTAATATTGTTAAAATAATAAAATTAAAGATGCCTCAAATTTAGGTCATCATACTAAGAGAATAAAGGTTAACATTGCATTAAATGGCATATGTTAACCTATTAACTAGAAAATATATTATTACGAAAACGTTATAGCGTTTATTTCTTCACATCTATTTCCGGTTACAAGTGTGAACGATACGCGACAACTCCACCCACACACTTCGGTCTTCGAAAAGCTCAAAGTGACCACACAAAAAGTATACCTACAAATTATGTCATGGAAAATTTGTAGCACATTTTTTATTATCTTTAAATACCAGAATCTCCCTTAACTTCACTAATATGATTGACTATCATCAGGCTTTACACATGGAGTTTACATTTCTGGCAAAAGATAGAAGTAAGTGAGTAAAATAAATCCCCAGAATTCTGATATCTGATCTCTGATTTCTAATATTAAATAGTAAAACTATAGAAATGTCTTACCGGTCGTGAAATCGCTGTCGCGTTACCAATAACTTCGTCGTCAGGACATGCGTCAGGATCGAAATGGGATCCAGCACTTTTGGTGTGATTGACCATCTGTGTTATTGCTAAATTTAGACAAACTCGCATCGTGTATGCATTGCACACACCAAGAAGTCCCATCACACCTAATATATACCTCTGTGGTATCACACAACCTGAAAAAAAAAGAATTTTTGATGAATGAAGATATCTCGTCTAGAAAGCCATGCAGGAAAATAGTCAAGAGAGATAACATATAAGTTAATTTGTTTAGGTTGATTATTTAATATCATACTAATATTATAAATGTGAATGTTTAGATGTATGGATGGATGTTTGTTTGAAGGCATCTCCGGAACGGCTCAACGGTTCTTTATGAAATTTAGCACAGATGTACGACATAGTGTAGAAGAATACATAGGCTACTTATTAAGTTTTTTTTTTTAAATGCAGGTGGACAGAGTCGCGGGTGACAGTTACTGTTAATAATAGTTTTAATAGTGCTATTATTGTCACCAGAAATAATCTGTGTCATTAGTATGTCTATGGTTAACATGGAAGTAAACGTTAACAGATTATAAATTCTTACATTCCTGTTGATCTAAAATAAGCGGCTCATTTATCTGTGTACGCAACGAATGTAGAATAATAACGAGTCAGACACCTTTACAACGCAATATGCAAATAACAAGAACTTGAAAGTACCAGGTGATCAGACTTATTGATGTAATATTAATTTACATTCGAATTTAAACCTTATGAAGGAAATTTTAAGGTTGAAGGGCCGTCAAGGGAATGAATATATTAGACTATCTTATCATAGATTTTGTGATAACGAAATGGTCTCGATTGAAAATTGTGCACCGGCATCTATTCTGAATAGCCTGATACCTTACAAAATCTTCGGATACATCAAATGAAGTGTTCTTAAGGAAATTAAAGAGTCATTCTTATGAAATATAATTTTTGTTTCGTAATTTTTTTTTATTTTTTTGCTATTTTTCACAACTTTTTTTTTATATCAGAAGGTGGCAAACGAGGGAGCGGCCACCTGAAATCGCTGAAATAGCGAGGTGACCGTTGCCCATAGACATACGCAATTGAATATGCGTTGCATACCTTTAATCGACGGAGGAGAGGATGCACAGAAAGAACATATTTTCCCTTTCCGTGAAGTCCGCTTCCACTTCCCATCCTATGTAAGGCCTCCGGGACGCACACTCATCAGACGAAACGCGGAATAGCTTCCACTTCACGCCTGTCTTCTGTGTGGTCGTGGTATTCCACCGGGCGAGCCAGGCCAATTCGTGCGAAGATGTTAAAGCGGGCTCTACCACTGTTAAACTACTAACAACTAATTTCAAACTAATTTTGTTTTTAGGAAAGGCATTTGGTGACATTGATAAATACATTTCTGTGCTTTGTCTACCCAAATTCATTACATCAAGGCAAGCATACATTTCATAGTGTAATGTTTTTTTTTTATCATTCACATGATTTATTAAAACACGTTTTAGTGCAGCTTTGTACTTTTGTGATATTTATGTTTGTTGAAAATTTTTTTCTGTTATAGTATTTAATTCAATTAAATGTCATCACTAGTAGTCATAAAATACTTTTTTGCTTTTGCTTTTTGCTAAATGCTTTTGCTTTTAAAACCTAACATTTTATTTTACTAAAGAATTAAGTACTTATATGTATATTTTTATAGCTTACATGTATATAATCGCCAGTGTAAACCCATAGTTAGACTTACATGATCGGAGTGTCTTCGTTAACGCGTTGTCTTTTCTACTCGTTGGGATTTGTGTTTTCTGTCCGAGTAAGTTGTGCGCTTGCACAACATTCATATCGTCCATTTCGTACCCAGACTATTTTGTATTCGGTATCTGGAAGTAAATATAAAAAACACATATTTTCTATAGGTAAATATATTTATTGACATTTATCTTGTGCTTAAGTTATTAGTTAGGTAATATTATTATAGATAAAGTAGTTCACATGTTGATTTATTTATTTGATTTTATGGTTCACCTTTAGACGACATCTACATAAGAACGCAGTGTTCTATTTCTAGAATGTTCGTGACTATTTCTCAATATAAATAAAATGATAAACAATTTATCTTATCGTATTCAGAAATTGATCTTGAATGTATCTGTTCATATCATTTAGTAAATTGCTAAAGTCAATTGTATAATAGTTTTTGGATTAAAATATTTATCTATTTAGTTTGAACACTTTGATGATGTTAATAGGTCAATGTTTGGTTCGTTGAGTTCATTCAACACCTTCAGTGCCAACGACAAATACGTGACTCGTATTGTAAATCAGAGAATCACTGAAAGTGTTAACATTGCAATAGTGAAATTCAAATAATAAGTAAAAGTCTATCTAAGTTTATCTTACTGTATCTTACTTCTTACTAATATCTTACTAATATTATAAATACGAATGTTTAGATAGATGGAGGGATGGATGGATGGATGTTTGTTTGATGGTATCTTCATGGATCTTGCTGAAATTCGGTATGGATGTAAAACACAGCCTGGTATAATAAATAGGCTACTAATTATGTTTTCTTTTTTCAATTCCGGACGGAGCCGCGAGCGACAGCTAGTTGGTAATAAATTATAATGAACCTAATAAAAATGTATCAAATAGTTATATAAGCTCCCTACCAATAATCTTAATTATAGAGTTGCTAATTTATAAAGCAGCAATACTTAAAGGCAATAAAATGTTATGTGAACCATGAAACCATTTGTTGAGCCCATGTGTGTTAGTGATGCCGTCATTTTGCGTGACGTAATCTCAGTATAAATGTTAATTCAAAAGCTTTGATAATTTTTGAATAAACAATCACATTATTTAACCGATTATCTCAAGTAATATTCGTATTTACATATAAAGAAGTACGCTGAAGTTGGTGTTATTAAACCAAGTATGATAGCAATTTGCAAAATTTGCAAAAATGTTGAACTTCTTCGCATAAAACGTTTGTACTTAAAAAGGTGCTTTTTAATTATAATATTATTTTTTTCAACACAATTTTTGTACTGTAGAACTAGGTTCTCACCGGGCTTATCATGTTGAAAATTCTGGTTATTTTAAAAAATTGCTCAAAACGGATTCTTTGGTAAATCAAAAAAATTGTTAGTAAATTAGGGCTGAGAATTAAACCACCTACTCGATAATGACGCTTAATCTATAAGGATCTATAAGGGTTTCATACTTTCGACTGCTAATTATTGGCTCAGAACTTTTAAGTTATCAAATATATATTTTTTTAATTTTAATTGTGCGACAGTTAATGTTAAATTTCTTTTAAAAGTGTTAAAAATATTTATCATATATGATAAATAAAATAACAATGTTCTGTCACCATACATCAAAGTCGCAACTGCGCTTCCATTATTTTGATACTCAACTTGAAGTGTATCCGATAACCGATAAGAATATCATAATTACCTTATTCGTAAAAAGCCAATAAACACTATATTTTTATTTCATTTGCTATAATATAAATAGCAATAAAAAAAACAAAATATCACTAAATCACACGCGTCAGTTGCGCGGCACTATTCGCAAACAACAGCCAATACTTATCGTATATTCATATGTTTGCTCGTACGCACTATACGAGTGTCGCCGTTGGCCACATGGCGAATATTGTCATGGACCGTAACGTTAGGCGCCAAAGACCAACATGAGGTTGTCGGCCTTGAATGGATTGGATAGAGTCGTGTGAACTGGTGATACCTGTTATGCAGTCGGCGAAATCATTCGTGTGAAATCTATACGGCGGTATTGATTGTTGTTTTTGTGATATCAATGGAAAATTATATAAAAAATTATAAATTATATATTGGCTTATGTATGATTTTCTCTGATTTCTTAAATACATTGTTCTGTTAAATGCTAATCCGTTGGTAAGTAGTCCGTCCTTATGTATCACTTCTAACTGAGGAAGAAAATTGGCCGTTTTAGTTGCTTTTGTTAAAAAAAAGTTTTCCGCTACAAAATTGTCGTTAACTTATGTCACATACAAATCATAAAGTTATTTATGTATTATTGAATTACCTTATTTAATTGTTAATGAGAAATTTCATTATGTATTTTCCGGTGCGTTCTTAGTAAATAATATACGGAAAACATTATATAATACCGATGCACACTTATAGCTTGAAGTAAAACATATTTTATCTTTTAATGTGTCACCATAGGCATTCTGTTGAGCAGTTAAGTATAAATAGGTCTGATATCGGTGCATACAATATATTGAGTCAGTCAATTTTATATAACACTGTCCTGGTTACAGTTAGTATTAGGAATTTGAATTAAGGGCATTACACATATGTCATATACTTGAGATTTGCATAATAAAGTAATAAAAGAAAATGAAGTTTTCATCGCCATCTCTACACTAGTTTTGAGTTGTAGCCTTATTTTTATTTATCTCATAATCTGACTCTTATAAAGCAATTACATATACAATTTACCATATACCTTTGTTTGTTTAAAAGAAATAATTATCATCAAATAGGCTGAAATTGTCTGTACGTCTCAACATACCGTTTAATTGGGAATGTTAGCGAACAAGATTATTCGTGTGAATTGCAATTGAGATTGATAGTCCCTTAAGCCGGTAACACATCTTCAGTTTTAACTTAACAACCGGACTGTTCGGTTAAAACGGATCGTGTGTAGCAGGCTTTATTCCATATTAAATTATTAACAATGAGCAAATGTTTGACCACATATTGTAGTTTGATAGCTAAATGCGCAATCAGGCATGAACTGAGATTGGTTACACAGACTGGTTTAGTATTGTTTATGTAATTTTATTAAGTAATTACTTTATGTATGTACATTAATATTAGTAAATATAAAGATGGAAAAGGTGTGCCGCAATCGTGAACAATGTAGGTCCGTTGTCTCTGCCTACCCTTCTGGATTATGGGAGTGAGTTTTTTTTGTTTGATACTTTGTAAAATATACATTTTATTTTACAGAATAATGACCCAGGTACTCAGGCAATCATGATGCTAAGTGACTAATAAGTGGTTAATCGTTGATTTTTGAGACCAAAACCTCTGTACATAACATATCGTCATCCCTTTCATTATCTTTGACAAAATAGAGATATCAATAAGTTTTAAAAAGGGTATTTTGGTCTCATATACCCACGGTAAGCATCTTGATGCGTGAATAAAAATACTAAATTCAATTGTTTAAACATGATTTGTTCTGTTGCAAAACGTTGCGAACTGCGATTAATATACGAGGTCTATGACCTCTGCAACAGCGGACAAACTTGATCCGCCTGTAAATACAAGCCAATGATACCGTATCGTTAGAATTTTAATTGTTCAACAAGTTATATTAAAGGTCAAACGTCAATGGATATGAGGACTTGTACTGATTTTAAATTGTCATAGTATTCTTCATATACCTAACTCTCTATTGATATATTCGACTAGCTCGTGTCCACGGATACATCCGCTAGGAATTAAATAAAACTTTATTAGTAGCCTATGTGTTCTTCCAGATTATGCTCTACATCCCAAATTTTGAGAGCGTCGGTGGCTCAGGGGTTTCAGCACTTGACTTGTAATCTGCAGGTCCTGGGTTCGAATCCCGCCATGTACTAATGTGTTTTTCGATTTTCGATTTACATATGTGCATTTATCCGACGTTCTAACGGTGAAGGAAAACATCGTGATGCAACCTGCACATATCTGCGAAGAAATTCAAAGATATGTGTGAAGTCAACCGACCCGGACTTGGCCAGGGTGGTTGACTATGGCCTAGTCACTCCTAACTTAGGGTAGGCTCCGAGCCCCTCAGTGGAGACGTATAGTGAGCTGATGATGTACATGTGTGAGCCAAATTTCATTGAGATTTGGAGCCGTTTTGGAGATACCGTGCAACAAAATGCATTCATCCAAATAAACGTTTTTATTTATAATATTAGCAAGACAAGATTATATTTTTAACGTGAAGCACATTTATTCTTAAATTTATTATATAACTAAAAGTGACTTTGTACCAACATTGTAAAATACGGCTTACATAATAACAAAGACTGTTAACCATACCGGTGTATAAATACGCGCAGTACCGATTCTTTTTTTTGTTTTAAACGTACCTCCTCAAGGTTAAAAGTACCAAGTAACTTTGTCAAGACGTTAGCGTTTTTTGTCAGCACTTATGTAGTTATATATTTTTTTTTGTTTTAAAAATAAAGCCAAAATAAACAAACAAAAAATGATTTATATGATTTAGCATTTTAATTGAAATTTCAAGGTTTTTTACGTACTGTTTTTGAATGGAAAGATGTTTAAAACTTAAATCTTTTGGTACCGCTTATCAGTTCCAAGAGTATTTTATTACCAAAAGACGACAAAATTGTTATTTATCGTTATAATGATTTAGTATGACATATGACATCAGTGATGTCATAAAATAGGACATTATCAGTGTATGTTTGACTAACTGTCGCCTGCGACTTCGTCCGCGCGGAATTATTATTTTTTTATTAAAAGCCTATATGTTCTTTCAGATTGTGTTCTACATACATGGCAAATTTCATCAAGATCTGTTGAGCCGTTTTGGAGATACCTTCTAGCAAACATCCATCAATCCATACATCCAAACATTCGCATTTATAATATTAGTAAGAAAAAAGATTAACTAAACCGCATGGTTCATAGTGCCAACATATTTGATATTAGGGTAACGAATTTTTATTATAACCCATTTTAATACTTTTAACAGAAAACTTTTAATAATTAAGAAGCAATTTAACCGGTAGAGGGACTTGAGCTTTGAAAATTAGGCAATTATTAGTAATTCATGTCGCAGAAATGTGGTGGTTGCATGTTTGGATTACGATAATTATAAAACAATTTAACAACAGTAAGATCACATTCGATACATTTGTTGCTGGCCAGTTATACATCAAATAAAAGTTTTAAGAAAAAACTAATAAATTTTTGAAACATTTTTAAGATTATTTTTTCTTCTACGTCGCTTCAGTATTTTCTGGTCATTATCATCGGGTATTGGTGGCCTGTTTCACGAGTCGACACCACTCCTCCTTAGTGTTTTTGTACATTGCAGGATGATAGCTTTTTTAAGATAAACTTAGTAATTACCGTGATATCATCATCGTCATCATCATCATCAGCTCACTATACGTCCCCACTGAGGGGCTCGGAGCCTACCCTAAGTTAAGTTACCGTGATATATTTTGTTTTAATGTTTCGAAAACAAAACACTGTAAAGCAGACAAAATGGGCAAAAGTTTTTTAGTATACTCTTAAAACACATCGAAATGAACTAGAATCTGGTGGCAACATCTGATAACCTAATAAAACAGACATAATAAAATACAAATTTATGTGGAAAATTCCAGTGTTATATATCTTGACAGATAACGTTAAATCTGTTCATTATAGAAAAAAAAACAAGTTTTTACGGCCATCTTAATCTATTCATGTATTCAAAAGTCCGTACGTTTCTATGCTTGAATATAATTTAACTATCAATTTTTATTAAAAAGGTTTCTTTATATCCTAGATATTCTTTTTGATTATATTACTGAGCAAATTAATCGTTTAAATTGGAATTATAACTAAATTTATTTCCATTCATCATCAGCTTACTATACGTCCCCACCGAGGGGCTCGAAGCCTACCCTAAGTTAAGGGTGATTGAGCCATAGGCAACCACGCTGGCCAAGTGCGGGTTGGTTGGCTTCACACATATCTTTGAATTTATTCTCAGATATGTGCAGGTTGCATCACGATGTTTTCCTTCACCGTAAGAACCTCGGATAAATGTACATATGTAAATCGGAAATCGAAAAACACATTGGTACATGGCGGGATTCGAACCCAGGACCTGCAGATTGCAAGTCAAGTACTAGACCCCTGAGCCACCGACGCTCTTATTTCCATAATAAGTAGTAATTATTTTGTTTTCTTAATTTCTGAATAATTTAGTAAGCATTCTTATACTTCCTATATTTCAAATATAATCTTTGTATACCTGGACGTATGCTACGATTTAAATAATCGTAATATTATTTTGCTGCCGATTCACATTATCGTTTGTGAACATTTAGACACGCAAATAATATATCTATATGTCTAATCATGTTTCTTATCAGGAACACTTGAAATAGAAAATATGCAATGGTTACAAAGTTCAATAACATGCAAGCATAACCTATGCATAACGTGGTAGGTGTAGGGCGATACTTGAAGCGAATTAAATAATACAACGTAAATTAAATATCAACATTATTTGTTAGAAAATTTACTTGTTTGAATGCAACTTCACTTCAATCGTTTTAATAGCCCTAATTTCAATGTCCAAGGTAAATATTTTTCCGATTCGAATTCAAAAGCCTTTTATGCGTGAATAAAAGCGTTATTGAGCGTGCGAAAATAACCAAAAAGCTTTTCGCACGGACTGGAAAACAAAATGATCCAACTGTAGGATAAAAGTACTTTAAATGATTTTTTTTTTTCAAAATGAAATAATTGTCACGAATCATAGTCAGTGTAACCAAAATAATATTCAACAATTAATATATGCGTAGCAATTAATAATAAGGCAAAAAGTCGAATGTAGAACTTTGGAAAAAAAACATATTCAAACAGGCGTTAGTTATTTTGGAAAATAGTTCCCTTAGAACATCCATCTACATAATCTATGGTCCAAAAAAAACAATTAATAAGCCAGTACTAAAGTGTAATTAAAATATTAATAACGGTCATGGTCACATTAATTGTTGCATCAGTTCGTTTTAAATATTCCCACATGTTTTTGTCACTACCATAGGTCAAGAGGCGATGGTCCGTATGAGTAAACAAATAAAAACACTTCGTTTTACAGTCGTTCATTTTATCAATGTGAATTAGGTCAATGGAATAATTGAATCACTTAAACTAAATTAACATGGACTTCATAAATGTAGCTTAATATCCAAGTGTAGTCTTATACGAAAAAAATATGTATGTTTGAATCTATAATCCCAATTCTTTGAAATTTTATTTGAATAAAAACTGTTGTTCAAACTGTCTTGTAAAAGTTTTCGCGTTTGTTCGATAATAACTAATGAGTAAGTTTGCTACAGTCAATTAAAATCTTAATAACACTATAAATGCGAATAGTTAAATAGATGGATGGATGTTAGAAGGTATCTCCGGAATGCCTCAACGGATCTCAATAAATTTGGCATGTAGAACATAGTATGAGAGGACACATAGGCTAATAATTAAGTTTTATCAATTCCGCACGGACAGAGTCGCATGCTACAGCTAGTATTTAAATAAATATAAATAATCAAAGTTGTTTTATGTATTTTGTATTATTCATTTTGTATCTATGCCAGAATTTCAATGTATATAAGCAACAGACATTATACACATGAAAGTGCATGTTAAGTGAATTTCTCTGAGACAGTTCTCTACATATTGCATTCTCAGTGTACTTTACTGACAGCATGCGAATGTAGTATTAAGTTTAAGACTTAAGTCATTCCATATATCTAGTAGCTTTGTACATGTCTTGGTAAATAAATAAAATAAAGTGCATTTAAACCATATAATACTCGAGGCTAATCCACAAAAACATCTCTGTTTTTTTTTAATGACTAAGATTCGAGATCTTAAATTGTTTTTTTGCAGTACGAACTTATGGCAAAGCACCTTTTGCTGGTGCATTGCGGTTGAAGTGTACGTCTAATGGTTAGATTGCACGCAAAGGTTTTAAATTTATGCAAATTTAAATCATCGGTTTAGTAGCTTAAGAATTTTTTTTGAATGTAGTCTAAGCTAGCAAACCTACTTGGGTGACCATTTAAAATTTTAGCTATCACATCACCGTAATCTAATCTGCATCTTCTTTTCAACAAAACTAATTTCAAAATGTTGCTTGCCATTTGTTTTATTTTCAAAATGTTTACTTATCGTATTAGTATTTAAAATACAGTATTAAAATGATATTAGAAACATAATAGAACAAAATTAACTAAAAGAAAAAAAAGATTAAGTTTTTGCTTCTAATCCAATAATCATTTTTACAAAAAAAAATATATGAAACTCAAACAATAGTAACAATAAACAACAAAGTAGAAGAATGTCTTTAAACTTTACCATGGATTATAGCAGTATTTGCATGCAGGCGAGGGAGTTCGTTCATCGATCGCATTTTAAATGAAAGGTCGTTACTTATAATGAAGCTATGTTTAGATACTGCGCGCAGAATTCTTTATACGTTAGTCCGTTAGTGTTGAACATCCACATTATTTTAAGAAACATTATGCGTAAAACATAGTATATGGCATACTAGGCTCACTGCTAAACGTATAAAATAACAGATTTATAGAGACATTAACTTAAAAGTAAGTAAAACAAAACACGGAAAAAAAATTCTATTCAATTTTTTTCACGTCATTTTGTGACTGAGTAGTCACTGTTTGCCTTGAAGAGGCATTTACAGCTTCACCGGAACCTTGTTTAAGAGTAACAAGACTCAAGGGTTCCTTCAGGATCCTCGAATCTTCCTGTTACTTCATTATTGTTATCGCATTGGAAGTCACCGAGCTCTTAGATCGCTTAGGTGGACGCTTCATGGAGTGACTGGGCTCAAGGGCTCGGCTTGGGCCGTCATTCATTACGGGTTTAGCGTTCCTATTCAAGGGTGAAAACCTTACAGTATAAATCCTGTGCATCGCGACACTGATTTTGTTGCATTGCATTAGTTTTGCTTTTTCTACTTACCATAAGTTATATCTTTCTTCTCGCTCATGTAATAAAATTTGCTAACTCGTGATACATTTTTATATTTGACTCTACAAACTCCAGCCCGAATTTAAAAACTACGCAATCTAATAATCATAGAAGTATACTTACACATTAATTAACAATGACTATTATAATTTCTTTGATATAAACAATAGACACAGTGAATCAGTGTCTAGTCCCACATGGATTATATAATAGAAATCTCTCGAGATGCGTCAACTTAAAAAAAAACAAGCGTTTTAGGGTTCCGTACTTCATAGGAAAAAACGGAACCCTCAAAGGATCACTTTGTTGTCTGTCCGTCCGTCTGTCAAGACCCTTTTTCTCAAAAACGCTGAATCTGAAAGATGTCAAGCTGGAATTTATATCAAATCACAGGTGCAGGACAGTCACTAGGTACTGTGAAAAAATAAAACTTCTAAGGCAACCCAACCAAAAGATACAACCGTTTTTATCGCAAATTTATGCAATTTTTTAAAATATAATAGTTATTCCAAAAAAAAAATCTTATACATTTTTGGCATTTGTAATGCATAACAACCATTCATTGTTTCATTCATAAAATAATAAAGACAATTAATTATATAATCGCGACGTGTTCCAACATAAAGCATAGACAATGTCGGTTTAACATTTGCATAAATATATTCTATACAAGGTTAAGTGATGGATTAGTATGCTCCTCGTATCGAGGCTACGATGATCTCACAAACGGATTAAGTCTAAACTCTCATGAACCTCATTAAATGGACGCTTTTGTGAACCGAGCTTTAAGTCAGTAATTAAGCTCTATTATTGAAATCGATGCTGAAGACGGTCAGAATACACTTATTTTTTAATTATAGAAAATTACTAAAATAAACTAAACACTCGTATTTTATAGCAGAGGGTGGAACATGCACTTAACAAACAAAACAGCAAACTATAATTAGTTGCTGGAAAGTGTAATTCAACAATACATCCAAACAATACTTTCCCAGTCTCCATTAGCTCTTTGAATGTGTTTAGCAGTTTTGCTTTTACGATTTTTTTATTGACACAACTTAATTTGGAATCTACTTATTTTAATCAACCAATTACTACGAAAACAATGTTTAAACAGTAATTTTAATATTTCTGATCTAAAAATTCTTACGTCTTACCTTATTCGTCAAGTAATATATTACTCCGGGAATTACGACCGTCAGTAAAAGCCACGTTGCATATTAGAAATTGGAGATTTTGCTTGGTCAGATTTTTTTTCTGTATTTCTGCGTACATTTTCTTTATTAAAAATATTCGCGTTACGAGTAATATGTCCCATAAACGATTGCAGATTGTAATTCATTTTATGAAACTGACCATATGCCTGATTAAAAATGATGAAGTGCAAAATATACAATTTGCTATGCAATAAAAGTAGGCGCGCATAAATTTAATGTTCTACCTCAAATATATGCACTTTCGGATTAGATTAACATTAACGCTATAATAGACTTTCAAGGAACAATAGATGATGAATATAATAACTGCAATTATTTATTACACTAGTAAATGGTAAGGTTTTACGAAAAAAAATATCAATTAATCATATAAATATATTAACTAATTATAAAATTAAATATTTATTATAAACACTATCACAACTGTAGTAAAATGCTATATCACAAAATTATTCATTCAACACATTACGTCTTAATTAATGCGTGTATTACACATTAAAAAAATACAATAATATTTTATTCCACTAAAGTATAAGTAGGTTGTAATAAAAAAAAAACAATATTAGGTAACGTGAAAAATGACAAAAGTGTATTAAATATTTCATTAATTTAGGCTCTGTTTCACTATGTTCATAAGTGCTGGATAACTAACTAAGAAATAAATTAACTGACATTAATATTTCACACATAATCAGCACTACGAAAAACCTAAAGTATTATCTTTTCCGCTGGACGCTTATTTAAAAATTAACAATTTAAATACATATAAGTTAATTTAAACATGTTTCCATATTAAATGATGCAGGTCAATTTTAACATTAATTTATCAGCAAGTAGGTCCGATTCTAATTACTAGATTTAACCCAAACGAACGAGCAAATAAAACCGTTTGATTAACAAACCGAGTAATACACCACATTCGTATACTATTTACAGGTTTCCAAAACTAAAATCTCCGTTTAAAACATATTAGTCATCTCTGTTTTGTCAAAGATGAAAGACTGGATATGTTCCATACAGAAAATTGGTCAGAAACCCACGGTTAATTTATCATATTAAACTCGCAGGTACTATTAAATTATTCAAACTTTCGTGAAACTTCATAGTAAACTGATCTAAAAACGGCTAAACACTCACGTATATTCGAGAGTGAGCGACGGGTCGCGTCCGCGAAATAATACCAGTACCACTCATCCTTATGAAGGGCCCCCGATTGGGCTCGAAACTAGTCAGTGCCGCCATCGCAGGTACTAATTCATAAAGTATATAAGATCAACATTATTTTATTAAATCGGCACTTAGTAATACATTTTATAGCTAACATGTACAATTGATACTACGAATATTTAGTTCCCATTAAAATAACAATGGCACTCAAACAATACACGCTTAATAAGTAATTTAAAACTAAAAAGTAATTAAATTAATTTCCTGTAATAAAATTAATCACGTATTATTTATTCGTTAAAACTTTTTTCAACATATTTCACTATAGTTTCTTATTTTAAAAGTGTTATATATTAAATTACATTATATACTTGAATCGAAATCAAATATAATTTATATAATTGTAATATCTTGAAACTATTACAATTAGAGTTATAAATAAATGTAAATACTTATAGAATATTTACTTAACAAGAGTTGTAAAAACATCGGCAATGGTTACGTTCCATGTTCATTCTGGACATTTGTTACATAGTTTAAGATTTGATGAAAAAAATATCCAGATGCCCATAGTTATATCTCTTCTATTAAAAATACGTGGAAGTATATAAACACGTTTACATTTATTCAAATACATTAACATTCTATTTTACAGATTATTTAGAAATAAATTACATACTAAAGCGCCGATTCCGCCTTCTTATTTTTCTCCTTGTCTTCTTTGGATGATTGTAAGCTACCGTGTTTCCAATCTGGTGGGTAGCCATATTGTCTAACGTCATCCCACCATTGCTGTTTACCATCTGCCCAGATGCAGTAAATCACATTGGTGCCCACCAAAACAGCGAAACACACCCAGAAAGCGACACGCCATTGCACAAGCGTCGACTGAAAATAATAGCTTAGTTTACACATATATGAAAAATAAAGCGTTTTACGTAATGCCAAATAACTGTAGAAATCATAGGAATAATTGGTAATGTTCTGTAATGGAACCTACATGATTGATTCGTTTTAGCTCTTGAGAAAGAATAATGAAAGTCTAAATTTTAATTAAATAAAATTAAACTTAACACGAAATCTTACTTCTTACTACTACTATAACTGTGAATGTATACATATATGGATGGATGAACGGATGAATGCTTGTTTGATAGTATCTACATAACGGCTCAACGGGGACAGAGTCGTGAGCGACATGTAGTTTTTTTATAAATATGAAAAAAAAAACTGTTGTATGGAATTCCGCTACATCAACTAAATGACTGCTCATGACATTATCTTTGTATGGAAGTTGTTATTGTATTACTTTGTATACGGAAAAAGAAATTGTTATCGATGTTTTTTTTACTACAATTTATTGTATCGGCGTAATAAATAAAATAAACAAGCTGTAATGCGCTCGAGGCAAGAGTGCGGACGTCCCACTTTTCTGATGTGCTTACGAAAAAGAGGCGAGAGTAATCACTTCATTTATAACCATTACGTCGCTGCTTTGCGTAATTTATTCGGTAAATTGGCAATTTTGAGGCACTCTTGACGAATTTCAAAACAATTCACGACTCAAAAATTCTTTGAGAGTTTTTTTTTGTATAGTCAACAAACTGGCTCGTATGTTTTGACCTATAGACGTTTATCTCGATAAGGAAAGGGGAAATGGGTTGGAATAACAGCATTTGTAAGGTTCAGACCACTCGTTTAAAGAGGAATTGGAGAGACAGCTCTCTTTTTTATTTATTTTTGATACATTTGTTTAAATCGTGAGTTTGACATCATAATAGATTCAGATTCAAATCAGTAGAATTCATAACTAGATATAAAATCTACTTATCAAGGAAACTTAACATAGGTATATACCAATTGTTTAGATTTCTAAAAATGCTAAGCCACAATGACCTTGAACCATGGAATGTTGTCAAATATAGTCAAGGGTTGCCATATATTAATCTAGATTATTAAGTTATTCAAAATTCAGGTGAGGTCCGCGAAACAATACCAGTCCCACTCACCCCGAGCCCCCCCGATGGGCTCGAAACTAGTCGGTGCCGATACCGGACGATCATACGTTGGGGTTTTTGCCGTTTATATATTAATTTTATTAGGAAGAAAATCTGACACTGTACCGGTGTATTGGCGCAACACTGGCCTTAATAAAATATCAACACTTTGTCCCCTCACTTATCAATCTGACACTGGACTCGGTTAATAATGTCTAAAAGTTTCTTGATATTATTATTTATAATTAAGATGTAACAGTTGTTCTAACAATAATTCAACAGTATTTTAATAGTAGGTTTAATTTCTAAACTTTAAATTCTCAAAGCAAGTCAAAGTTCAAAAGCTTTTGTCATAAGTAAAGTTTGCTCGGATTTCGTAGCTTTTCTCTGAAAGCTCGGTAAACTTGAGACGTATCTTTTACATTATTAGAGAGGCTTTTAACATTTATCTTAGCTTGTAAATTTATTTTGGGATATTGAGCGGAAGTATTGATATCTCATTGTTAAAACTTTTCCTTTTAAAAGTCAAATATGATTTATATTACGATGTAAAATCAAAATGATGTCTTTATTTAGCATTCATAAATATTGAATAACGCTATTCATATCAAACATTCGAAACTAGCTGGCGACTTTGTCTGCGCGAAATTAAAATAAAACTTAATAAGTAACCTATGTGTGCTTCCAGACTATGTTTTATATGTGTGCCAAATTTCAACAAGATCCGTTCAACCGTTCCGGAGATACCTTCAAACAAACATCCATCCATCTAAACTTTTGCATTTATTATACTAAGTAAGATTCATAACTATAACTAAAAACATATCTACGAGTTCTCATTGGTTATCAGTAAAATCGAGATGGTCATTGTAAAAAGCATATGCAATAAAATTCATCCCAATTTGTCAGTACATCAAAGCATTTTAGTTAATGCAGTACAATCACATTAATTTCAGCTATAAATATTATAAAGAATCACTTTTAAAAAATTCTGAGCAATTTACTGCGAACCATTAACTTTAATGTGGAATTGGCAAGAAACTTACGTCAGGCGTTAATAAACCGATGAGGTAGGGTGTGATTATTCCCGATATTGTTGATGTCCCATTTATCATTGCTGTTAAAGAGCCCGCGTAATTTGGCGCCAAATCAAGTGCGTTAACCTGAAATATCATTTTTTAATAAATACCTTTTTATTTAATATTAGAAATACAAATAAATTAGAAACGTTTGTACGTGCACGTGTTACAGTAAATATAAATAAGTTTAAAAACATCAATAAGACTAGCTTTTAACATCTTAAAGTATTAAATGCGTGAATTAATTTCGATCTACTTCTACAATAATGTGCAAAATTGAATTGTGAATCATGGAAATAATTCTCACGTGTCAATCTGCGGAACGAATACCCATGTTATTGATTTGTTCCACCGACCACGTGATTCATTACAATTTGTAATCATATTAAACATTAAAAACACGACCATAAATTTTCTAACATAAATTAGGACCAATTATTGGCAAACATAACCATTATTTTGGAGATCCATTTGATGATACCTAATTATCTATTTTAAATTACAAAATAAAGACTGAAGAATTTCCATATATGAAACATATAATTAGTGCAGGGAAATATACCAATGAAATTGTACCTTCTTTAATACTCGTTTTAAATACGTTCGAAAATTACTAAGGTAATATAAATGAGTATATAATTTATTCAAGTCGTAATCATATTCATAAAGGTTGAGCATACCTTCATTCCACTGTAGAACCCTCCCATGAGGGCCATGGAGGCAATAAAATAAGCGACAGCTTTGAAACGATCGCAGCCCGAATATGATGCTAAGATGATGCATATAGCGGGACCCGTTGCAGCTAAACATATAAATTTTATCACATATCATGTGGAAATTTTTATGGCATGTGTCAAGGAGAATTTTAGGAATAAACGTCTTCTAGTTCATATTAATTATTTTCACAATATATCAGTAGTACTACGCTTAAGACGGATAGATTGCGAAAAAACGTATCTTACTAATATTATAAATTCGAATGTTTTGATGGATGGATGGATTTTTGTTAAAATGTATCTCCAAAACGGTTGGATGGATCTATCTGAAATTTAATATAGATGTAGATCGTGATTTAGTTGCCTCATGAGTTCTTAGCCCATGTGTTACTTATTGAACGCATGGGCTACTATTTAAGTTCTTTTTTAATTCCGAGGGGACGAAGTTGCGGTCGACAGTCATGTAATAGAACAAACCTATTGTTGTATGAATAATCCTTCCAGTTTTAATAGAATGCCAGCCTTTTTTGACGCAGCCATCGCATACCCAGCCGAATATAAAGGAGCTGATCCACATGGCAAGGTAGGGGATGGAAGTGAGGGTACCCGTAGTAGCGATGTTAAATTTAAGCACGTCTGTCATGTACTTTGGAAGATCTGTCACCATTGTGTAGTAACCCCAATCGTGGCCTACCTGAAATACAAAATTATTATCAATAATGCAACATTTCCATTTATTTATTTTTACATTTATTAAAACGTTAACCATGATTTTCTGAGACCAAAATCGCCTACTAAATGATATTGTGATCTCTGTTTTGTCAAAGATTATGACAGAGATGACGATATGTTTTATATAGAGATTTTGGTGTCAGAAACTCACGGTTAGCCAGTTAAAAGGATTTGTAGATAGTTAGGTTTGACAAGTCTTTGATGATTATCACTTTCCATCTATTGTAAATCTGAAAAGTAATTTTATATTTTTCTCTCTAATCTACATGTTTATTACGTGAATAAAGTTGATGATGTGAAAATCAATCAAAAGGAATAAAATATTTATAACTTACTGCAGCAAACAAAAGAGCCCACACGGGAACGGATCTAACAATGGCCTTCCAAGGGACGGGGTCGCGTACGCTTTTATTATCTGCACTTGTGACGTGTTCGTTTAAATATTTAAGCTCCTCATCAGATATGTAGGGATGTGTATTCGGTGTACTGTAGCAGAGTATACTCTACAATAAAGATTCAAATGGTATTATATTTTCAAAGATTTATAAACTTTTCTCATTCTAACATCTGTAAACTCAGAAACCATTAGCTTAAAAATATAATATGTCATTTTAAAAGTTTATCAAGTATTCATACCAGATACTCAAAGTCTTTTCCTAAAATGATATAACTTTAGTTTGGTCGTTACAAGTTTCGTCTACATCCGAAACTTCTCCCGGCTGCACTACGAGAAACTAATATAAATCTAGTTTATATCTACAGGATAAAACAAAACTACTTCCACAAAGAATTTGTGTAATAATATCAAACTAGTTAATTTTAATCTAATTAAAACTTAAAGGAACAATTTCAAGATTAAAAACGTTAATAAAGACAGATACAAATACAACGAAAAAAAGTTGTCTTTTAGACTAGCGCTGGACTAGGCTAGAGTTAATTAATAACGGGTCAGTAAACACTCAACTCACAAGCCAACAGGTCAACTATAAGTAGCTCTTAACGTGGAAATAATTGAGTCTCTTGTGTAACTTTAAGCATAACTTTCTTATTGGATGTCACTCAATATTGTAAGTTACTACAACTAATGCGAACAAAAAAATAATAATAATCACTCACCCAGAATATAAACCACAAAATTCCAAAGCAACCAAAGAAGTAGAATACATTAGCCCAATCTCCATTCCCTGCCATTAGGAATCCCGACATGAAAGATCCAAATATGTTTCCAATCTGTGCGCCACCGAATACCAAGGCTCCCTGCCGGGATCTCTCATGCGGCGGCACCCAGCGTGCTAATACTATCATTAAGGCAGGCATCGTGGGACCCTGTAGAGTAAATATATAAATATGTAGCTCAATACTGATACTGAGAATCTTTTGAAGATGCAATCCTAGATCCTTTAACGTATTTATATCTTATCATTTTATATATCCGTACATACAAATTTTTTATTATATATTTTTACTTAAGTTGTTTTTCTTTTCATTTACTTAAATTTTGTTTTTTATTATGTGTATATCGGAGTAACTGATAATTGTTAAATGCTAAAATGTCGTGAGTGTGGGTTTTTGTAATTTTGTGGACTGAATATTATATACCTATCTGAATATAGGTGCCCACGATACAGGCGTTGCCTAATGTGGGCATCACTAGATTACCCAAATTAACCATAAATGGTAACTTAAGTTTTATTTAATTTCTCAGTTATGTGCAATTTTATGTTAGTTATTGTTTCTTGCTTTAATCTTTATTACCTATAATAAAAACTTTTCTTTCTTTTCTTTCATCTTTCAATCTTTTTGTGTTGTACACAATTTCTGACAACTATATTGTGTGCTTCTTTATAAAGTTTTGTGTATGATATGGTGAATGAGAAAAATTAAGGCGTTTACAATCTCAGCTGACGCTAAAAGGTGAGATTGAAAGATTATTCAAACTTTTTACACTTTTCATTAAAGTTTTTTTTAAGTCCTAATTATTATTGGAATCTTTTCGGTTTAAAGATCTTTATTTACTCATAAAATACACAAAGTTTCCCTTACAATGAGTATAAATGTAAAAAACATATAACATAAAGGCTTGCGGGCTAATACAAAATATAGTAACAATATATAAGATTAATATAAATCAAAAACAGACCTTAGTACAACTATAAGAAGTTAAATTGGACAGAAATGACATCTATATATAATATTGAGAATAGATTATGACAATTCAGCAATGAGATATGATTTAAATTTTTTTTTTAAAACTTTAACACTTATTTGAGAGTACCAACTTGCTTCTGTGTATGCCTTCTTCAAATGTTTTGTGCTGCAACGTCTCCTTGCGACTTTCTAGTTATTATTATCAAAGCAAAACTTATTCAATCAATATTTTCCTTATATAAATTTATTATGTACCTTTATTGTAATAAATATAAGTTTTTTTTAATAAATACACGCCATATTGTCTCTATCCTACATGGCGGTGGAAAGTGGAATTCAACTGGGTGAAGGGTAACAACATTTTTTTGCGCTCAGACGTGTCTGCAGACGGAATGGCTAATGTTTAACGAATGCATAAGAAAGGAGATACCAAAATATTACGAAATATTTTTTTAGCCACTAAACATAAAGGTTTATATTAATTTAATGTTATATTGTAAACTTTCTCAGTGCTTGCACCTTCAAATAGTAATAAGGTCATGCATAACTTATAATATTATAAATGAGAATGTTTAGATGGATGGATGGGTGGATGGGTGGATAGATGGATGGTATGGATAGGTATGGAAGATATCTCCGTATGGAAGAATTAAGTTTTTTTTTAATTGCGCGCGGATGGAGTCGCGGCAGCTAATATCTATATAGTATATATAAAAGAAAGTCGTGTTAGTTACACTATTTATTTAATATAACTTAACAACGGCTTTACCGATATGACTGAGAATTGATGAGGAGGTAGCTTAGAGCCAGGAGACGGACATAGGATACTATTTATTCATTTTTTTCGAATTTATGCCTTGAATAGCTGCTTTTTATTTAACATATCTATATATTAAGTTTTTTTTTATATATCCACGCCGACGGACAGCTAGTTTAAAATAAAACCAACAATATTTTATATCTCTTTGTTATGTGGCGATCAATGTTAGCTGTGATAAATCCATATTGACGGTGTTATATTAACGATTACCGCAAATCTATTACACAAATTTGCGGTTTTCAATTCTATCATGTATTTGTTACCTTACTTCCGTACTGTGCTGTGTTTGGAATTCTATTTAAAACACAACGTGACCCTCGTCATTCACGTTTCTGTGGTCTTACGGTGAATCTGTCGTACCACCTGTTTAAGACATTACTGTAGTCCCTTTCTTTTCTTTGATAAAGCAATAATGTTCTTACCCAAGTATTACGCCATTGAAATTCTCAGTTACGACGAACGTTGTTAATTACAATACTACCAAAACGAAGAAAAACATATCCGTACAATATGCCGGATTGTAAATTAAATAATAAAGAAATGAATAGGATTAGCTTTTAACATTGTAGCTAGATTATACTAAATACATAGATAAAATATAATAACACACCTATAGTGTAGATCTCTACACTAAGTTTGAATTTGAAGAGCTAATTGCAAACTACAAATTGTATTCAAAAAAAAAGATTTTAATATTAGAAGTGCATCAAACCGACGAGTATTTATGCATTGATGAATGAATGTCGAAGCGAAACAGGTGTGGCAAGATCGCGTAAAGAACTGGGGTCTCTGTCTACTCCTTTTGGTTACGGGCGTGAATTGTTATTGTTGCAAAAGGAAAGATTGATGATACAGAATGCTAAATGTAGTAACATTGTGATAAACGTGTCTTGAATTCGAACTCCAAATGGAGGATAACTTAAAAACATAAAATGTAAATTATTAAAAATGTCGTATAATTGATATTACATTCTATGATTAGGATTTTATCTTTGTATTCTATCATATTCACCCTTTGTTGGATATCACAAAGGATTCTAAATTAAAGTAAATCCCGGCTATTGAGGGACTTCGCTTTGAAAATGAAGATAAGCTTTGGCTTAACAAAGTTTAGTTTAAAGAATACCTAGGATTACAGAGCCGGGGTCCACGGCTTTGTGATCGCGTTTAAACGGTTTGCGGCGAAACGTTGTATTAGTTAATAGTATAACTTAACTTAAACTATACATATACAAGCTATATATATGTAATTATTTAGTATTAGTTCTTTTAAAATGTAGTTTTTATTATGATATACTTGTGAAATATGTTTTGTTGTAATACAGAGGTGGAAAGACAGACTAAATGTTAATGAAATTAATTTTTCACGTTGCGTTTATATATTATTTTCTAGTTTCACTTGAATCTGCATAATAATATACGATTTGGGACTTTAATTTACACCTACAAAAATCTCACTTTTGTCTAATATTATCTTAGAGTACACAAAGAACAATGCAAAATAATTTAATTATTTAATAAGTCGTATACTTACTTCGCCCATTCCTTGTAGTACTCGTAGTATGAACAGCCAAGTCGCTCCTCCTGCCTTGACCACTACTGGTGTCATGAGAGTGAAGATAGCGGTACTTAATAATCCTATTCCCAGCGTCCATTTCCCACCGTATCTCTCAGCTAAGTAACCACCCGGTACATGTGTTATAGCATAGCCATAGTAGAAACCGCTTAATATTAATCCTTGAGTTGATTCTGACCAGTCGAATATCGCATACTGAAATATAAGAAAGGGCTAATGTTATTAAATTCATTTAATACTTCCTTGTCAGTCGGGACCATGGAATTTTATCATTCAGATTGATGAATGGTCAAGAAGGACGGCATTGAGACCAGACCATTAGTAGAAGCGTCAAATGGAGGTCCATGGTCTATACCTAACCCTCTGGGTTACGGGCGTGAGTTATGTTGTTATTAAAAATTTCATTTCAGCGATGATTTTATAGCGCTGGGTAAACGATTTCTTATATCATATGTAAGATTATCTTGATCAAACTGATGTGTTTAGAAAAAAAGCACTTACGATCAAATTATTTAACAAATACGTAATAGACCAAACATTTGGTTATTAACAGGGAGGTACCCATGTTACGGAAATGTGACAGATTATCAGATTTTTGTTAAATTACATTATTGAATAGACAATTTTGTAAACAGTTAATATATGCACAAATATCTACAAAAAAAATGTTACTTTACTTAACTGATCTTAGCTCAGTAGCCTATATATGTTATGTTATATTTCTTACCTCTTTTATACTAACGGTTCCGTTAGCCAATATTTCACTTTCATCGGGACAGGCATTGGGATCAAAATGTGACTCCTCGTTCTTGGTATTGTTGACCATCTGAGTGACGGCGAGGTTGAGGCAGACGCGCATTGTGTACGCGTTGCACACTGCCAGCAGGCCCATAATGCCGAGCACATACCGCTGGGGAATTATGAACACTGGTCGCAACAGAAAAAATGAAATGTATTAGACAAGTACGCGATTAGTATGTAAAGGTTAACTCTTAAATATCAAAGGAAATTAAAGAGAAAAAATTGGATAAAATAAATTAAGTTCTTTCCACACGAGTATTCCATAGTGTTGCGAAGAGACTAACTTACTTATACTATAACTATCAACGTTAGACCTATGCCTTAATTGCAGGTCCATCAAAATTTATGGATTTTTTTATGGACCTTCAATTAGTCCTATCAAGTAAATTGTGTCATTTATTGTATATCGATACTCCCAAGTTCACTAACCTATGTAATATTATGTTCCGAATTTTATAAAAAATCAGGATTAATTTTTGCAACTGATACGGATTTGTTTATGAAAATACAAACTTTGGACAGTTCTACATGAAAAGGGTCAAATATATTGAACATAAACTTATAACATAATAAACACCAGTAAAAATGTCAATTTTTACAGAAAATAAATTTAAAAAATAATAATGAAATTTAAATTTGTTTTGCAGATTGTACCAACAAAATATCCTTATTGAAATTATTTCACGAAAAATTTCTCCGTAAGAAATATAAAGGGACTATAACGACCAAACATTTTTATTTCTTTTATCAATATTTATCTTATATATAATATTTATATCCGTAAAATAGCGTAGTTAGTACAATTGTCACGTGTACCAAAGTCTCGATATTTTCCAGATTTAATTTCATATTTATTATGTATACTTACGTTTTGATATTATTTGTCGCCATCTTGGTAGCATTTCAACGTAAAATATATACAGAAAAGAAACCAATGTCAGTTGATTCCTGAAAAAAAAATTCCATATGAGCAATTTGATAAAAAAAAACAAGTAAATTAACTCCGATTTTTAAATACAAAAAAACCTAACTTGGATCACCAATAGTAAGCCATTCTATATCAAACCAAAAATCATAAAAATAAAGATCATTCGTAAAAGATAGCATCTATTTTTGCTGATAAATCTCATATCTCTAAATACTAAATTCATGGCCGAGGTACAACAGTGTTACTGACGTATTGAGATTAGAAATCACGCGTTACATTGCGGAGATACGAGCCATCAGTGTCTCGTGTGTCCGAATAAACACGTTACCATGGGCTTTCATTGTCGTAACAACTCTACAAAAACATCAATCTCACTCAGTTATTCGGTTACTAAAGAGTTCCTTAGTGTACATTTAGTGAGATAAATCTATACTAGTTTATAGCGGCAGTATATGCAGTAGAATTAATAAATAAAATCTAGTTATGCTATATAGTTATCATAAAGCTTGTGTTAACTTAAAGCTTACTTAGCTTTCTAAAGGCGAAAGAATTTTAATAATCGATCCAGTAGTTTTGAATTTTTTTTTTACTATAAAATATTAGCAGATTTTGTAAATTTACTAATATTTCTTTTAGTTTATTCATTTCATACGAAAATCTTTCCCCTTTATAATATAAGTATAGAGATATAGATTAGACGGTAGAGTTTTGATAAAAGTATATCATAGTACAACAGAAAAAGAACAAATATGTAATACGATCAAAGCATAATTTTACTGCAGTCATTTCACTTTTACAGTCAGATTAAAATGTCTTCTGTATGTAGGAGTAATAAAGATAGTGACATTGTTTGATGAAATTTATATATTTGTCGTGCTCTTTAAGTTGTAAGAACAGATTATGATGACACTAAATGTGATTCAAGTGTTTCACAAAGACGATCAATATAATGTTATCAGACAGGTTTAAAGATAGTAATCTATACAAATATTAAAATTGGAGTGTCTGTTATGTCAAATCACATTTCGCAAACATGATGTATTTATTCCTTGTAACCAATAACCATTTTTTCCCTGTCTATATGTCCGCAAGACAGCGTTTCATCCGGGTAATCACCGTCTCTCGACCGATTATGACGAAACTTTGAAACGGGATTTTTGACGGGAAGGTGCTGATGTAAACGGAATTACATTTTTTTAAAATTAATAAAGAAGTAGCAGGCAATCGCTTGTTAATATTGTCATTAAAACTCATGGCATTATATTGGTCCTTTTGTTTAATATTATTATTCTTATAATGGTCTATATTGTGTATAACTTGTCTTATTAAAAATGGCAATTTATCAAATAAGGACCGACTAGGGTAGATTAAAAATGCCACAATTTTTTGCTATAAATTGAGGGAGATGATGTAATAATTAAAGTTGGTTTCTACTGCCGAAACACGCAAGAAAAAAAAATTATCGCTGTTTTTACAAACCAGAACTCCACAGCACTTACAATTTTTCATAGCTCTTCATTTTTGACAAAACAGTACTTAGTCATATTTATTTTAGTTTGAATATTTAAAATTAACGTTTGCAGCCACAGACGGTTTGAATAAATAACAAAACCATTGTTCCAGAGTAATATTCATCGCCAACATTCCGAAGGCCGTTGTTGTATACAAATTGAGCGCAACTATTTAATAATTGTGCCACAACGACCGCTTTGTTTTCATCTCAAATTTTCCTTTTTGACAACCGCTGTTATATGCCAGATAATAATAAGGGTTTAATGAGAAATTATGCTTAAATACATTTTTATAGTTAAAATAAAGGCTTATATTATTATTATTTTAATCTTTTATTTATTTATCATATTCTTAATATAATATATTTCATATACAAAAAAAACAGTACAACATATTTTATATTAAAAACAGAGCACCACCGGCTGCGGAATCCTATGACTCAAGCAAATAGTGGTCAGGGCTGGAGAGACAGGAACCTACTACTATTAAGTTTAATTGGGATTTGGCGATCTCTCTAATTTTCTTTGTTTTTATACAATTTTCTGCTACGCAAACTTTTACAATGGAATTATTACTTTTTGTCTCAAGGCATACGAGCAGGGAAATTAACCTTCCGATGCACTCAAGATACTCCGCCTCGAAACAAAAGTAAATACATTTGACAGTCGACCCCATTTGTAATAGACTATATTTATTGCTTATATTTTTTATAATTAATCAATGTCATCGATAAAATATTTCATAACAGATAAAATTATATGCAACCTCTCACTTCAGAGAATCTAAGTAACAACCTTGATAGATTAAGCCAATTGCCATTTGTGACGAAAATATAATTAAGAAAACTAATCGTAGCTCTTTGCTAATTTATTTTGAATATTTAATATATTATTTCAAATATGTCTAATTGTTTAAGGATAAATTCAACATTACCATTTAATAATCAGCCACGAATGTACTCAATAAAATATAATTTTTCACACAGTCTTTTGAAGATAAAATTCAACAAAAAACCTGACACATTGTCCTCAAAAACTAAGGTTTTGTACAACTAAAGCTTGCGTGCGGGGATTTACGAATATTTTTATACACAAATGCGCGTGTAATAGAAAAACAATTAAGAAACATAGTGTGTAAATATCTGCATTCTGGTTTAAATACCCGGATCAAATCATATACTAACATAACTTAATAAATTATTTATTTATATTACGTATAATTGTCTATGTATGTAAATTTCATTATGACGCCTAAACGATTTACGAGTGAAATATTTAGTCAGTCTTTTTTTATTAAACAAATGATATTAATATAATAAAATATTATCTAAGAAAATTAACGATATTAACATATGGATAAACCTTGTTTTTTTTAATCTAAACTAGCGATTCACCCTGATTCCCACGGGTAGCGGCGCGTATAACCCGCTAACAAGTCATAATGTTTTCAAGGAGATTATTTAAACATATGGCTTATGTAACGTCTATTATTTTTATATTTAATTATTAAAGACACTAGACACTTAGCATAAGTGAATCATTTAACAATATCAATAAATGTTTGTTACTTGTTGGCATGTCCTTTCATTGTCAATGCCTGTATTCTAAACGGTTTGTCAAATTTTAAAGTATGAATTGAATTGGAATTCTTTCCAATAGTTTTTCCTTGCATCATTTTATATTTATGAAAAATTATTACGTGCCTTACTGTTATTAAAGCGACCGCTTAATTTTCCGACTACGTTCCACTACACATCTTAATTACTTCGCCCGTCAAGTAAATTGATATTTAACTAGTGAAACACATTTAGTTTACTAGCTCGTCTATATATCTATATTATATACATTAAAACATTTTTTTCCACGATTAAATATTGAGTATAAATGTGTGCGTCGGTGGCTCAGGGGTTAAGCACGATTTGTAATGCAGGTCCTTGCTTCGAATCCCACCATGTTCCAATGTGTGTTTCGATTAGATACTTATGTATATTTATGCGACGTTCTTACGATAATAGAAAACATCGTGATGCACCCTGCACATATCTGCGAAGAAATTCAAAGATATGTAAGAAGGTAACCATCCCGCACTAGTGTAGACTATGGCTTAGTCTTTCCTTACTAAGCGTTGGCTCCGAACCCCTTAGTGTGGACGTACAATTAGTTGATGAAGAATTTATGTGATAGCCTTAAGACAAATTGCAAGATACTATTATTTAACTGCCTTGAATCTTATATGCTCATATGTTATACGTAACAAAAGTCAAAACATTGGCTATTATTTAATCGAACAATTACTTATATCGCCATGGCCCCGATATTTTCAAAACATAATAACAGATTCAAGGTTATAATTTCTTGTGCCAATCAGCAATTCGAATGAATTATTTTCTTTTTATTACTTATTTGTAAATGGTCGTGTTTATTCATCAATACTTTTACCTATATTGAACTTTAGTAGCACTTTTTACTAACTTTAGCACAGAATATGCTGTGATATGACATAGTAAGAGACTCATGAGACATAATTTTAATGTTTTCCTGTTGTTTTTTTTAACACTGTTAATTTTAATGCAAATTTTTGTAATGAACACTGGCCGCAACGAAAAATATAATATTAAAATGAAAATATTATTAAATTTGAAATATCATGGTATGTTTTCCACGGTTTGTGGTTTCCATTGAAAAACTTACCACCTGTACTATGTTTATAAACATCGCGTGGAAATCTGAATAACTGGAGAACAATGATAAAACTTAGAAGACGTAATTTGCAAATTGCGGCTAATTACGAATTATTTTAAAACACAGTAGATTAAATCAATACTTAAATTAACTCACTTATGTGTGTTAATTATTTATTGAAATAAATATTTTTGAAGTTGTGGATGAAGATGTGGATTTGGATGTGTAGAAACACGTGTTAACCTTTTGACCGCCGGTGATCGATTTTATATATCAACGTGGTTGTTAAAGAGGATGTTTTCACTAGATGTGTGATACTAAAACTGCCTTCAAGTGCGCATAACGTACTACGTTGTTGTTTTTGTCAATAATCACGAATTGTCATAGCAGCTTGCGATAAAAAGTTTGACATATGTTTAAGTTAAAATGTAATTGAGACATCGCTTTAGTTTTTTTTATGGTTAAGCCTATTATATTTATTGAATTTGTCAAAAAAAATAACATAACTTAACCAATAAAATGAAACACAAATATAAGATTATAGCGTATATTGTTTTAAATCGTTTTAAGAGAAAAAAAAAACCTATCCTATCATATGACACTGACTAATGAAAACGATTATTTAATGACCATTTTTATCTCAAACACTAACACGAATTATTCTATAATGATACAAACTTGTTTTAAGCTTACGGCAAAAATTATTTTTACTATTCTAATCTTACTAATATTATAAATGCGAATGTTTGTATGGATCGATAGATGTTTATCTGCAGACCGGATCAACGGAATACAATGAAATTTGACATAGTGTAGAACATAATCTG